TTCCTATTAATTAGATTATTTTTTAAAAAGTAAGTTTGAGATTTCTTTTAATTGTGACTGGATATTATCTAACTTATTATTCATTTGGAGAATAGTAAATAATTTCAACATTATAATATTTAGTTAATTTCAAATAGCAAAATTAACAAACAATTTTTAATAGTCTCGATTAATATAATAATATGTTCGTAGTATCAGCGTTAGTCCTATTTGTTTAGCAAAACAATTTTTTTCCTACTTTTTCAATTTATATATCATTGTAAAAAAAAATTGTTTAAAACTAAATGTCATTTTTAATAATTTAGTGTATAATTATTGTCTTTATTTGTTATTTTATTTTTTATTGAGTAAAATGTGGTTAAATGTATAGTTAATTATGTTTTTAAACATAAAATATGCAAAACTAAATGTTTTTTTAATCTGTATGTAAAAATTTAAAACGATAACTAAATTGGAATGGATGGAGTATTAATCTCTATTAACATATAAAAAGAATTTCGGTACTCTGAATTTCCCAAGACATGACTTCTTTTTTTTTTTTTTTTAGAACACAGTGACATGACTCTTTACCTATACACAGAATTACACATAAAATTTGGTCACATCAGTGCATCTATGTTCCTGAATTCAACTTCCGAAAATTACAACAAACGAGTAAGTAGTAACTAAAAATAATTGCGTTGTATAACTTGTAAAGTTAAAGAGGCCCTTTTCAATATTCAGTCTTCTTCACCCTCTTGTTTTTGGTCGGGAAGAACATTAACCGAAACTTTGATAATGTTGTATAAATGATACAAATAGAGAATCTTTGATGTGATAGTATACTAAACGCTTTCTCCATTAAACCCTTATTTCGGAAGCTTCATGACTTTATAAGCATCAAAGAAAATTTTCTTTTACTAAAAATGAAAAGTATAAAAGATAAAAGGTTTATATCAATGATGACATTTTAAGTTTTAAATAAACGTGTCATGTAAGCCTAGTTGGTATTAAGATTTGGATTAATATAGATGAAGTTGAGCCAAAAAAGTCATAGTAATAAAAATGCGTACAAATTCAATGTTTTAGTAGTTTAGATGTCATATAAGCGTAGTTAGGAAATATTGTGTTATATCTTTTGTGTTATATTTATTCTAGTTAAAAATATATATATCGAAAGAAGAAAATGATCACAGAGAACAGACAACGACTTGTAAATAACCACATCTACTAATCTTTAATTATAGATAGATACCAAAGTTAAAACGCAACTGCTAATCTCTTTTTGGTAAAAAAAGCGATAAACTCTCGTTTATTTTCTTCTGTCAACCAACTACTAATCTCTTTTGACTTTAAAGACAACGACGTACCTCCATAATTTCGTAATATAAATGAATAATCTAGCTTAAATTACGTGGAAAACCTTGAAAACATATACTAACAGATATTTTTGTGAATTTTTAAAACGTTCTTCTTTGCCCACTCTCGGAAAATTTTATGATTAAGGTAAATATATCTTTTACACGCTATAACCTATATATAGCCCCCATATACCAAATTAACTAATTCTTCCCCATGGAGACTGAAGTCGTTGATCATTATTAAACGAACGGACCCGCGATATGGAAATTTTCAGCTATCAACAGTTTCATTAAGTTTAGTTTTTCCTCCAACTTGATCCACACTTGTGCAAAGATCATTGGTTACCTATTAAGACTTTTTAGTAACAATCTATTCCTTCTTGTAGTGTGAAAAAAATGTTTATGAAAAGGTAATAAAAAACCATCGTTATATAGTTTGAAAATGTATAAATCAAAATTAGGTTTTAAAATGGTTAATAGAGATTGGTAAAAGTTCTTTAATCAGTTATAATTTTTTTATATAAATTATATATTTACTAGATCGAAACTTAATAATGTTAAATTAACTCTATATAGGAATGTAGATCTCTCTCAGCTTGATTTTTAGTAATTTGTAATTGACCATAGGTAAATAAATTTTCCAACGACGTGTCGTGAATCCAAGTAAAAAAACTAACGTCTTTGAATGCATAGTGTGGCCGTGTATATATATAGTCATATAGACGTTTCTTTCTCATACAATTATAGCAAGATAGAAATCCTCCAGTAAACTACTGAATAGTATCAACGTTCACAAAATTTTATCACACATTTCACGACTTAAATCAATATGGACACTTCCCGGAGCCTCGAACACGTGCTCTCCATGCAAGGCGGTGAGGATGACATCAGCTACGCCAAAAACAGCTACGGTCCGGCCGCAGCGTTAGCCTCGAGCAAACCAATGCTGACGTCAGCCATCAATTCCATAAAGCTCACCAAAGGATGCTCACCCATAAAGATAGCCGATTTAGGATGTGCGGTAGGAGACAACACGTTTGACACGGTGGACACGGTGATTGAGGTGTTACGGCAGAAGCTAACCGTGGTTGACGGAGAATCTGATCAGCCGGAGCCGGAGTTAGAGGTATTCTTCTGTGACTTGCCTTCGAACGACTTCAACACGTTGTTTCGATCGTTGCAAGAGAAAGTTAACGGCTCGAGCAAGAAGTACTTCGCAGCTGGGGTTCCTGGCTCGTTCTATGGGAGGCTGTTTCCAAAAGGACATCTTCATGTCGTCGTGACCATGAGCGCCTTACAATGGCTCTCTCAGGTATATCCTTTTTCTTTTTTTTTTGGTAACACCTCTCAGGTATATCCTATTTTATTATTTAGGTATAGGTTTATTATTATTTTTACTTTATTCACTTATTGATGAATATGAATGTGATGAACAAAATTTGGGTATATAAATTATATATGTAGTTTACATTGGCTATGAAAACAGAAGTTTCAGATTAATTACAATAAACAGAAATATATAAAAATACATTTAATAAAACTATATATATATATAACTCTTATATTCATCAAATGTTAGAACAACCTTATTGGGTGAACCCCATAGAAGGTTCTCACTCCTTTTTCTGTTATTATTGTAATGCAATTTTTTAATTTAATTGAATTTATTTTCTTTCAAAAGATACAAGACCAATAATAGGATAACATTTTGAAAGATGATATGTTAAAACAGTCATATCTCATATATATTGCATCTCTCTATTGACATTTTTAATTCTTTATAAATAATTTTTGTTGTGATATGATATCCACCCTTATCCTTTTAATGGAGATGGTCTTAATGAACAATATCTCAAAAACAAAAACCAATAGTCTGGTTATATCATATCCCATGAGATATAGCGTAAGTCGTAACCAACTAAACTTCTGTAACGGATTATGCCATCATTTGGTTTTTGGATATGTAGATACCGGAAAAGGTGATGGAGAAAGGATCGAAGACATGGAACAAAGGACGGGCGTGGATTCAAGGAGCAGAGGGAGAAGTTGTGGAGGCATACGCGGAGCAGTCAGACAAGGACTTAGTTCAGTTCTTGAAATGTCGGAAAGAAGAAATTGTGGAAGGAGGAGTGTTATTTATGTTGATGGGTGGTCGATCTTCTGGCAGTGATCTTGACTCCGGTCTCAAGCATCTTTTCACAACTTTAATGGATCAAGCTTGGCAAGATCTAGTAGATGAGGTAATACGCGGTCATGAAGCTGGTTGATTATGCTATTGTTCATAACATTTTTGTGTTCATTAATATTTTTTTTTTAACTATGGTTGATTATGCTTCATTAACAATCTTGACCTACGTTTTAATGTTCTACTAGGTGTTTTGCCCGCACTTGCGGGCTTAATAATTTTACTAATATCTATAAATAAATATATAATCAAGTTATGTAAATTATAATAAATTATTGTTCATAGACTCCAAATATTTAATAATAAACTAAACAAATTCTTTTATTTATAAAATTTTCATCATCATATAAATAATTTTTATTACACAACTTATATTTGAAAATACTCATAAACTTGAAACATTTAGTAATAAATTAATATCGTCTTTAGACATAACAAAAAAGTATAAAAAATTATGTTTAATAATGTTTTGGATAACACAATATAAATTATCTATACATAAATTCTTTGCAATTTGATTTTTCATAATTAACTATATATTAACAAATAGAATTATTTTTTCAACGTTAATAAAGACTTTATAACATAATATAAAAAAGTTAGATAAAGATAATTATCAAATTCATGAGATTCATTTTTAAATTTAGCATTAATTATATGTTAACAAATATAATTATTTTTCAAGGTTGATAAAGACTTTATCACATAATATAAAAAAAATAAGGATAATTATCAAATAAATGAAATTCAATTTTAATTTATAATTAATTATATATTAACTAATATAATTATTTTTCAAGTATATTAACTAATATAATTATTTTTCAAGGTTAATAAAAACTTTATAACCCAATATTAAATAGTTTTAGATAAAGATAAATCTAAAATTATTGAAATTCGTTTTTTATTTATGTTTAATTAAATTAATTTTTATAATTATTCATTAAGTGTATAAACGATATTAACCGTTCTAACTTTCAACGTGAGAGCTTTCTTGCAAAAAATCATTCACAAATAATAGTATAGATTACCTAAATCACAGAAAGTTACAAATTAATCAGCAAACTCACTTAAATTTTATAATTAAAAAAATATATTTTTAAGATAACAATCTAATACAAAAGAATTAACATATTTTCAAAAAATATAATATTATTAACAGAAATTCTTTTTATTTTATTTTATAATAAATTATTAAAATATGAAAATAAGCAAAATAACCTAAAATCATGGAGAAATTGACAACTAAGCAAATTTTTACTTCTAAAATAATAATTGAATAATATATGTTTTAAGATAACAATCTAATACAAAATACTTAACATATTTTCTAAAAATATAATATTATTAACATAAATTCGTTTTTATTATATACTAAATTATTAAAACATGAAAATAAGTAAAATAACCTAAAATCATGGAGAAGTTGACAACTAAGCAAATTAATTGAATAATATATTTTTTAAGATAACAATCTAATACAAAATTTACCACATATTTTCTAAAAATATAATATTATTAACATAAATTCGTTTTTATTATATACTAAATTATTAAAACATGAAAATAAGTAAAATAACCTAAAATCATGGAGAAGTTGACAACTAAGCAAATTTACCACATATTTTCTAAAAATATAATATTATTAACATAAATTCGTTTTTATTATATACTAAATTATTAAAACATGAAAATAACTAAAATAACCTAAAATCATGGAGAAGTTGACAACTAAGCAAATTAATTGAATAATATATTTTTAAGATAACAATCTAATACAAAATAATTAACATATTTTCTAAAAATATAATATTATTAACATAAATTCGTTTTTATTATATACTAAATTATTAAAACATGAAAATAAGTAAAATAACCTAAAATCATGGAGAAGTTGACAACTAAGCAAATTTACTTCACAAATAATTATGCTTCATTAACAATCTTGACCTACGTTTTAATGTTCTATATATGAAGTTGACAAAACATTTTTTTGGGTGAGTGTACAAAAGGGTTTAATAGAAGAGGATAAAAGAGATGGATTCAACATTCCGGTGTACCCGAGAAGCACAGAGGAAATAGCGAATGCGATTGATCGTTGTGGTGGTTTCAAGATAGAGGAGATGAAGGTATTGAAAATAGCTGACCCCATGAATGCTAAACAGCAGATGAAAGATCCCGAGTCTTACGGCCTAGCCATGGCTAACTTGGTTCAAGCCGGTCTAAAGCCAATGGTTGAGGCTTATCTTGGTCCTGACCTGACCCGTAAGCTCTTCAAACAGTACGCAGTTCGAGCTGCTGCCAACAAAGAACTTCTCAAGGAGAATTCATCCTATTATATGATCGCCGTCTCAGCGATTAGGGTTTGATGTTATCTATGCACTTACGTATATGCTTAGTATACCATGTCAAAAGTTACTACCGCTATGACATCGACGCATGCTGGAAACGTGATTGTTAGAATAAGAACATTTTATTTCACAGATATATTGTAGTACTTTCCCTTAAAGTTTAAAATCTTACAATCTTTCCCTTATATTATGTGGTTTTAGTGAATTTGAGAAATATCTCCTCCGAGTAACAAATATTTAATCTAATATACGTGAGAGATGAGAAAAAAGAACCTCGTGACCACCAATGGCACTTTTCTACGTGACACTCATTAAAACATAAATATACTTAGGTTTTCACCCCAAACTTAAAGAAACTCTCTCCCACCACCCTGATTCATACCTCTCACGCCACACACCAGTATACATTACACAACCATGGCTTCTTCTCATTCACCATCAGTTTCAAATCTTTAAGGCAATATCCCAAAACAGAACAATGAAAGATCTGTCTTTCTTCTTCCTAAAGAAATCCTTTGTTGCCTCGAGAATGTGAGGACGACGTTCACGTGGCGGCTTTCCGATCTCTTGTGGTGGTGCTGACTCGACTTCCACACGAAACCAACATCAGAGCATAGACGTGATACCATCTGTCACACCTGAAAGCACTCCTCTTGGTGGAGGATCGCCGAGAACGTTAGAGGATATGATACTTCAGCTGGAGGCTGAAGAAGATATTGTTCGAAAAGCTAGGCTCCGTGAATCTTACTACGGTTCTTTCGATAATTGCGACGATGATGATGATACCTTATATCAGACTAGATAGTGATCACTCATAGTCATAAGCTCCAATGAATGATATGGCATGTGATAACAGTTTATAATCAGAAGTTAATATTTCTTACGCAAATTAGTTACCAAATCACGCGATTGAAGACTACAACTTATGTTCTTTTCCGTGAAAACTATTGTTTGTTGTACTTCTGAGTTGGGTAATTAAGGGATTTTTTTTGTACTAAGCATACTTCTGTTTAATTTATTGGGTTGCCGTTAAGGTATGGGAGGAACGCGTTGAACCAGTACCCACGTTTCTCACTGGACGGTAAGGATGCGATGTACCGGTCATCATTCCGGTGCCAGTTTGGCGCTAGAGACAGGGTCGACGGGGATCAAGCCAGATGAGCTTGGAGGCAAAACGCCTGCCTAGGACTGTAGCTGGGGAGAGTGTGGTGTGGTGTGAAACAGGGGTGGTTGCGAAGCTGATGGGCTTGGAGATAATACCGGTTCCGGTCAAGGGTAAAACGGGAAAAGATAAGTTAGGGACTCTGCTCAAGAAAGAGCGTCTAAAGAGGAGAGATCGGATGCTGGACATTAACAGTCGGATTGCTCAGAGCACCGAAGCTTCTTGCTCGTCTGGAGGTTTTAACGCAACGAGACCTATAGGAGCTGTTTGATCACCTAGTCGCGTGGGTGGGTATATATATAGAGTTACGTTTCAATACTAGATATGGGACTGGCCTTGGCCCTTTTAAAAACTTTCATGTCAAACATTTCTTTTGTCTCCCAACAATAAGCTCATGGTCTAAAATCTCAAATGTCAGGAAAAGTAGCATGAGATATATATCTGTCTCAAACTATGGTTTTGTTTTTCAGACAGAGTTAAATGTTTATTGACGAGAAACATCCTTGAAATACCTTGGAAAAAAAAAACAAGACTTGGTGGTTTTGTGTTGTATATCAGACGGAAACTCCTAGCTCAGACATCCTCATGATCCTTTTGTTCAACGCAATCCTCTTCTGTCTCAAGAGTGAAGTCATGGAAGCCACCTAATGATTGAATAAAAGAGAATTTGAATGATCGTTCACTGCAATGAAGCTTAAAACATGAGGGAGATGAAAAGAAATTGACTCACTTCGGCTCTAAGCTTGATAGCTTCCCTCCCAGGAATTTGCCGTAGTCCATCCATTAAATCTGCAGAGAATACAAGTCTATGTGTAAATATACAGCATGGAACTAAACTAATTAACATATACACGTGACATATGGAACAAATGAATCTTACCAATGGAAGGTAGATAAGGGTAAAAGATTTTGTGTGTTGTTTTTACCTGCAGCTTCGCATTCAACCTTGTGGACAGACTTAGCAAGACGATGTATATTGTTTCCAGAGTCCCTATAGATAATGACAGTAGTTGCCTTAATAACCAAAATGAAGTCAATTAAATTAAGGAAGTGAGTCCGCAGATGTTGAGGCATACATAAGTTCAGAAAGACCGCGTTTCATATCCTTCTCTGCCAAAGCCGACCTCTCAAGCAATTTCATGCTCTCTTTTTTCATCAAGTCTACAGACATGTTCAACTCCTGAACATGCTTCTCAGCCCTCAGGAATTGTGCCTGGAGAGATGGTTGAAGTGGATGAAAAACAAGAAAGGGAACACAAACCAGGGAAACTAAGTACTAACGGAGTTAAGAAATAAGTTTAAAGTCAGTAGCGTTTTAGATACCTCTTCGCTCTGAAATCGGCCCAGAGTATGACGAAACAAGAATCTTCTTGGTCCTGTAATTAGTAGAACCATTGAAAACCAAATTTATACAGGACAAATCTAAGAGATAGAGATGTGATACTTTTGGAATGAACATTGTAAATTGGAAAGTAATAAGAGCACAGGTTAAATACCTCGCATAAGAACGAGACCAGCAGCGAGACCAATTCCAGCAGCAGCAGCTGGATGCTCCTTTGCGTTGCTCAATTCCTCTGCAAAGAAATGTTTTTTTTTTAAAAAGCAGGTGATAGTGAGTAGTCAGATTTATGACAGATTTCACCATTACAAATCTAAAATATCATGTGAGGACTAATTATCAGGACTGAGAGGAAGATTCTAGTTTAAGCACACTAACAGACGCATTACAACAAAACATGAAGGTTTTGAGGAAATAATATTTTTTTTTATCTCAGTGGCTTGACATAAATCAATCATACTAAGCAATAAAGTAGTCTACAAGCACAACTTGTAATGAAACTTGGCGTAAACTTACCTGTAACTTTACTGAAGAAAGCATTCTCATAGGTCTTATACTGAGTCAAAGCATGAGGAATGAAATCCTGCAATTTTCACAAACAACACAACTGTAATCTCAGGCATGCCTGCCTCAAGCGATACATTGCATATACTCAACAAGAGGAAGCAGAATCAACGGCCACGAGGGACTAAGATCACTATCAATAAGCTCTAACCCTAAGACTCCACCACATGAACAATATCTAGCACTATCTCACGGCTCAATGAAGCAGAATCTAATTTGAATCGAACTCCGTTCTAAAAAATCTTATATCCTATCCTGAAAACTGTTCGATTCGAAGAAAACTCGTGATAACCTGTATGGATCGGAACTGAGAGGTAGAGTTTTCGCGGAGAGAACGAGCGGAGCGTATCGCTGAATCCGTCGATTCCTTAACCGTCCGCTGCAAATCATCCACCCATTTCTCTGCTCCTCCTACGGCTTCCTCCACCGATTCAACCACTCCCATCGCTTTATGCTCCGTCGCATCGGCAGAGACTGCAGTCTCTGGAACCGAATGGTCGTTAACGCCGGCTGCTTCGTTTTCGCTCATCGTCGGAGATTACGACCTTTTCTGGTAACGAGACGAGCCTTCTCCTCTTTCAATCAATTCCAACTCTCGCCGGTTCGTTTCGACTCGGTTTGGTTCGGTCGAACTTAATTTAAAATTAGAAGTTGGGTTAGGGCTCTTTGATTACGGTTAATGGGCTTTAGATTGGGTCTGTAACTAATTAATTATTAATCCTTCTTCGTCTTCCTTTTCTCTCGTCTTCTACCCCCCACCACCATTTCTGCAGCGGTAAATAAAAGAGCTCCCAGAGTTCCTTCTCCTTGGTGGAGATCTAAAGAAAGAAACAAGAGATCTTATTTGTTTTCTTCCGGATCTTCACAAAGTAGGTACCGTTACAAGGTATGGTTTTGTATTTGTTATATGTTCTGAAAACTCTTTGATCATGCGATTTACGCTTATTTTCGTCAGATTTATTTGCTTGGGGGAGGGGGGGGGATCAGTTCTGTAGTTTATTTGTGTTTCGTATAGGAAGCTTGATTTTATTACAAATCTCCTAAGGTTTTCCTGTCTGAATCTATGAATATGATATTGCTGACGATGATTCTCTTCGTTTTGTTGAATTTTAATGGCATCCCCTTTATTTAGATCTGCTAAAACTAAGAAAGATAGGAACTTTATAGGTTTTGATCATGTTTCTTATGTTCTTCTTCTGGTTTGTCTCAGAAACGAGAAGAAGAGGAGGAGGAAGCGGCAATGGCGGGTAGGTATTGGTGTCATATGTGTTCACAAATAGTGAATCCTATCATTGACGCCGAGATCAAATGCCCCCTTTGCCAAAACGGGTTCGTGGAGGAAATGAGCGGTGAGCGTAATGATGGCAGCAGCAGCATAAGGGAGGTTCAAGACTCAGAGATCGATTTCAGTACAGACCGTGCATTAACTCTATGGGGTCCAATCTTGCTTGGGATGATGAGCAATCCTCGTAGACGTAGAAGGTTTAGGAGGACAGAGCTTGGCTTAGATAATGATGATGTCAACATTCCTGCTGGTGCTGATGTTTTTGGAAATGACAGCAATGTCGATAACCATCATCATCATCATAACCGTCGTCGCCATCGCCACATGCAACATGATGGAGAGGCTGATCTAGACAGGGAGTTTGATTCCATCATCAGGAGGAGACGGAGAAGCTCAGCTGCGATATTGCAGTTGCTTCAAGGCATCCGTGAAGGGATTAACACCGAGGATGAGAGCTCGGACAGGAGCCAGTTTAATCGATCAGCTTTTAATCTAATCCGCAACAATACTTCTCCTTCTGGAACTGGAGATAACTTTGTTGGAACCGGTTTAGCTCACTTGCTTGAACATCTAGCTGATAACGATCCAATCAGACACGGATCTCTTCCAGCGCGTAAGGAAGCAGTGGAGAGTCTTCCCACGGTTAAGATCTGTGAGACATTGCAATGCTCGGTTTGTTTGGATGATTTCGAGAAAGGAAGTGAAGCTAAAGAGATGCCGTGTAAACATAAGTTCCACGTCGGGTGTTTACTACCGTGGCTTGACCTTCACAGCTCGTGTCCTGTCTGCAGATATGAACTACCTCCTGATGATGAGGTGAAGACTGATTTGTTAAGACCGAGGACAAGAAGTGTAGGGATCAACAGAAGTAATGAGAATGTGGTGGAAGAGGATGCAAGGAACACTAGTGGGAGTGAGAGAAGGTTCTCGTTACCGTGGCCGTTCAGTGGATTGTTCTCTTCCTCGGCTTCTTCATCCGGTTCAGCAGCATCAGGGTCTTCTCAGCTCAGTGAGAACTCAAACTCAGGATAAAAGGAAGAAGAAAAATTAGAAACAAAACAATATCTGCCTCTATTTCTCTTGAATCACAATTCCTCAGTACATAAAAATCTTGTGATCACTCAGTTTGTTGAAGAAATAATCTTTTCATTCTTTTGTGTTTATATCATCTTGCTAGGAAAAAAGAAAGTTATCACTGTCAAGTCTTTGAAAGCTATTTGCGATCTTTGCAAACGAAATCTGAAACTCGATTATATAGAGTATTGGTAATATAACACTCCATATATAAACGTAATGGCCTATTAGCTCAGTTGGTTAGAGCGTCGTGCTAATAACGCGAAGGTCACAGGTTCGATCCCTGTATAGGCCACTTTTTTAAAAATCCTTTAACGTGCTAAAAACGCCGTCGTTTCGTTCTGCTTGCGAGATATTTTTTTTTCTTTCTTTACGGATATCGTTATCTTCTGCTTCTTTCTCACTAAACACGAAGAAGCAAAGCAAGAGAGAGAGAGAGAGCTCAAACACACAAAAATGGAGGGAACCATCTCGCCGCTTTGCCTACGTTCTTCATCGAGTCTCTGTTACTTCTCCAGCAACGTTTCACTAGACTCTCACCGTTCACTAGGATTTACATTTGTAGATTCTCTCCGGCCAACGAAATTGGTATCCCTGCGAACGGGAAACAGACGGTTGTTTCTTTCTCCGACGAGAGGGGCTCTCCGTACGCCGACGCTTACCGCGGAGGAAGTGAAAGATGTTCCGATGCCGAAGATAGATAAGAGCGGTCGATTGAGCAGTCCCCGCGCCGCACGCGAGCTCGCTCTGTATGTTTTTATCTTTATAACTCTCTCTATCTTTGGTTCTGAAAAATCAATCTCGCCTCGTTCATTTGAATGGAATTGGAGATTTTAGCTGGAAATTTAAAATTCGAGTTTACTAGAATTGGAAACGGTTTATTCATCTTTATGGCTTGCTGTGAGTAAAATAAGGCTCATATGAGGTTAGGTTTAAGGTTTTGATATAGCCTTAAACCCTGAACCCCAACTTGTATTTATTTAAGCTATTATTTGCTATTAGTATGAATGATTGAGCCGTGTTGGTGGATTATCTTTGACAGTGTAATACTATATGCGGCTTGCTTAGAAGGCTCTGATCCTATTCGTCTCTTTGAGAAGAGGATCAATGCAAGAAGAGGTCAGTATATCAACTAAAACATGTTTTTGTTCTTTGTTTTGCTTTATGCTGCAAGAAAGTCATGATTGTAGGAATAATCAAGCACCAATTGCTTGATTGTTCTTGATAATGAAATGCTTGTGACGTAACTTTGGTTTGTAAATGTTGGTTTGTATACAGAGCCTGGATACGAGTTTGACAAGACTTCTTTGTTGGAATACAACCACATGAGCTTTGGAGGACCTCCGGTTAAGACAGAGACTAGTGAGGAGGAAGATGAGCTTGTGCGCCGTGATGAAAACGAATCGAGAATTGGTAGGTTTTATTCTCTGAGGATTAGTTTTATGTATATTGCAAAATAGACTCTTGTTTGGATTGGCACATGGAAAATTCCCATCTTATAAAATGTAAAGGATATGATACTGGTATTCTACTTGTTGTTTACCTTCCCGTTACTGCAGAAGCAGAAGTGCTTTCAGCTCCACCAAAGCTGGTGTACAGCAAACTTGTTTTACGGTAAATTTTATTATATGTATCTTACTAGTTACTCTGAATAAATTCTGGATATCTTATTCCCACCATGTGTTTGCCCAAAGGTTTGCAAAGAAACTCTTGGCTGCAGTGGCTGATAAATGGGATAGTCATGTTGTCATCATCGAGAAAATTTCCCCTCCAGATTGGAAGGTATAAATTGAACACTTTTTAAGTTTTTAACTTTTACTGGGTCAAGCTTTAGCTTGAGCATCGAGAAGCAGCTTCTTATTTTGTCTGTGTGATTATTGTAGAGTGCACCAGCTGGAAGAATACTAGAGTTTTCGATTCTTCATTTAGCAATGTCTGAAATGGCAGTCCTTGAAACCCGACACCCGATTGTCATCAACGAGGTATCTCTCAACTTTCTCTATGTATCTCCCACTTCAGTTAGCTTTGCAATGCGATATCCTTTATCTTCTTCTTTTTTTTTTGCGAACTAACACTGTTACTAAAATGATGCTGCAAAAAACAAAGGCTGTTGATCTTGCAAAACGGTTCTGTGATGGATCAGCGCCACGCATAATCAACGGATGTCTAAGGACATTTGTGAAAGATAGATCAGCAGCAGCAACACCAACACCTCAAGCTTTAGAATTGAAGCAAGAGGTGTCGGTTTAAGTTATAGAACAAACCCGTATCTACGTAGGAGGCAGGCAACCTCAGGTTTTGGTCGTCGGGAATAGCTCGTAAGCAAAGTATTGATGATCCAATGATCTTTATATATAGGCCGAGTCACTATCAGAAGAGACTCTGTCTTCACAGGCAGCTTTTGGTACCTGAGACTGAATATATCTTATCCCTTGCAGCTCATCATGAATATTGCTAAGAACACAAAACATTTCTCAATGTCTGTTTAATGTATGTTGTCCTAAGAATATATTTCGTTTTCATGTTTTTGTCTTTGTATCCTCCTTACACTGTCCCGTTGTATAATCAAAGTTTCAATCGATTTTTGTATCAATATATTACTCCCTCTGTTTCATTATAAGTGTCACTCTACAGCTGTGCACACGGATTAAGGAAACAATTAATTTTACATATTTCCTATATAAAAACACAATTATCCATACACCTAACCATATTTTAACCAATAGAAAAACACATTACATAATAAAATTAATAAATTTTGCATTGAGAACCGAAAACGACACTTATTTTGTAACACAAAATTCTCTACAACGACACTTAATATGAAACGGAGGGAGTAGTCATGAGGAGGATATAAATCTTTCAGGAAGTAGACCAATCAAGTAGACTAGTGGCCAAGGAAGTAAAGGTCCAAACCATAAACTAATGACCCACATAGAAAGCCCATGAGCCCTCATTAATACGACAGTGTTTTGTCGAATTTAGAGATGATTAGGGCTCCTTCTTGTAGTCAACTATGTCGTCGTCGTCGTATATATATAACTTATCTTGTCTCCTCTTCTAACAAAGAACGTTTTCTAGCATCAATGCTCTTATCTCGTGTCTTTCATTGATTTTCCTGTCTTTATTGTCTGAATTTTTCTCTAGGAGTCTTTATTTTGATACATTAGAAGATACGTATCGTTAGTGATTTTACTGTCTGAGTCGTGGATTAGAATGTTTTTTTTTTGAAGTATTAAGGGGAGCTAATATGGTGGTGAGGATGATGAAAAAAATCATTCGGATTCCCATTGATTTCCTACGGGAAAGATGTGATCATTTACCAGCTACTTTTGACTTATCATCATCACTCCATCCTTTATTTTTTATCTTCTGTATATCTTTGCTCTCTGGTTTCAAATCTATTGATGGTGGTGAGATGACGAAAGAAATCATTCGGATTCCCATTGATTTCCTTCGGGAAAGATGTGATCACAAACCAGCTACTTCTGATTCATCATCATTGATACCAATTGTTTTTATTTTTCTTAAATTTGGCCAGTGATGCAAGAAAAATATTTGCTACTCTTGATGAAGAACAACACAACGTTGTTGTTCTTCAGTTGATGATTGGTTAACCACCAAGATCTCTGAGGCCTATTTTGCTAACCTACATAAATTTAGTTTCACTTAAATATAAGCCTAAGTTCCTAACTATACTAACCTGAATAATATCATGTACAAAGCTTTTAAGAAGCCGATCATAGAACCAGTTAAAATTAGATTCACTCATAGAAGTAAACAGGAAAAATAATTTGTAAGTTTAAATTACCAATGTAGAATTAAACCGGAAAATCATAATGAGTAAACTCAATCATATAATCAGTTCAATGTTGATTCAACTATGAGAGTAAACCGAACAAAAATGTTGTACCTTTAATTTAACAAATAGTAGATGTAAACCGAACTAATTTTTTTGTTAAATATGCACAAAAGATTAAGGAGAAAAGATGATTAACTTAACTGACTCGTTGAACTTTTAATCAGAAAAACTATATTCAGACCAAATTATTTCAAATTACTAAACCAAGACGATGTTGACAATTGCCTCAGCGAACATTTGTTGGAGGACCCTACAATGTTCCAAGGTTCTCCTAAATTGCGATTTCTCAAACTCAGCAATGTCCTACAAACTCCCTGGCGTTTCACGGATAGCCCTGAGCCTAAAGTTGGTTCCTTTTTTCTCAAGAAACTCTAGATTATCGCATATTTTGCCTCCACAAAAACCCAAAACATAAACGAAGACTTTTAGTTGCCACAAAAGGACTAAACCAAGACTCTGAATGATGTCTTAAAAAAATATAATCACTCTGTTTCACTTTAATATTTTTTTTCCTTTTGCATAAAAATTATTATTTAGATGTTCAATACAATTTTTATCTTAAAATTAACTACCAAATATTGATTTTATAAATAATTTTATTTATTTCAAATATTACTGATTAAATATGTGTAATTAATCAGAATATTTATATATTTCAATTCTTTTTCTAATCTATGTAAAAATATCAAAGTCAATTTATGACATAAACAGAGTAATATATAGATAGAAAAAAATTAGAAACTTACAAAATAATATTTAGGTACAAGGGAATATTTTCTATTTTAATAAGAGATATTAAAATTTAATAATAGTCAGATAATCCTGTATTTTGATCTCATGATATGTCTAGTGGGACATTAAACAATATATATTTAATTTCTGAATATTATATGGAACCGGATTAGGCACTAATAAATGATGTGTAATGATGATAATAAAACATTCAAGTCAACGTGGCATAATCACAAAGAGGTCAAGTTCTTGACAAAGTAAATCCTGACTTCTCTGTATACTCAAACACACAGATAGATCATACAGAAAATCACGGAATCATTATCTCTTTTAACAAAACTAGATACGTTTTGCGAAAAAAAAACAACTGTTCGGACATATGGTGTTCAACGGCGGGAGTGTTATGTCTGTAGCTCTTTTGTCTGCTGATATTTGGCAGCGAGTACGTCGGATCCCACCGTCGGATCGCATCAGCAGCCGAGAAATGCTCGACCTTGTCTGCTTCTTCCCGCTCCAGGAACTTGGTCGATTCGCTGTATGGTTCTTGACTGTTCTCTGTCTTCCTCCGCCAGGTTTGCTTTATCCTGAAGTCGACGAAGAAGAGGAAGAGGATCGTCATGATCACGCTTTCGCTTATAGCTCATCTTCAGCTCCTATCGCTAGATATCAGAATCACTTCCATCTTCATTTTGAGTGATCAAAACTCGATCATGTTCTCTTCTTTGTAAATTCTATTCTTCTTTTTTTTTCAGTCGCTCTGTTTTCATGTTGTAGTTATTGTATTTGGCGAGACTTCAATCTTGTTTCTTGATCTTGATTAAAGATTCAGAATCCTGATAAGAGTTTGGATCCCTGGAGAATATTTACAGATTTGGGGTCATTTAAGTCTTGTCCTTGGTGATAGTTAGACCATCAGTTCGAGATTAATATGCACTTGACTAGTGGAGCTGTTTTCGATTAGGTTTAGGTTTAATTGTGCAGAGACCAAAGGATTGTAAGTTAATCAATCAGGGTTAGGTTTGAAGCGAGGGTAGCTGGTGAATTTTTTCAGGAAGAAACTCGTGACTCATTAGGTACATAGGAGGCCGGTTTTGTCTAATGATCAGTGTCTATCTTGTCCATTTTTTCCCGAATTAATATTCTTTTGGTCGCTCGCAGAGCATCACAACTAGGCATCCATCATCCGTATATGTCCAATACTATTTTTTTGCAGGTCAAGTAGGCTGGTTTGTGTTTGATATTAGGTTAAATAAAAAAGTGGATGAACATTCTTATTTAGTATATCTTCATTTGCTTGCAAGTCTCAATCTATATCTCTCGGTAGTTGATATAAATTACACTTTCTAATGTAAAATAATGGTGTTTGTGAGTTTTTTGGTTTCTTGGCTCCCAAGAAAGAAAGATTGTTAATACTTAAGTGTGAATGCGGAAGTTTCGTGGTTCTACTTCATTTCTTTATAAAATGAAAACTTGCATTAACAAATTCTTTTAGTTCATTGAATCTTGAAAATTAATTGGCTAGAAATGGATAAGGACTGAGCCAATAATATAACTAAAATAGCACATGGTGCAATCAATCAAATTCCATATTCTAACCTATAAAGAAACAACCAAATAGCTCATTGGCTCTCTCGTTTTCTATTCAAATCACGACTGTCACAGAGAAAACAACAGATTTCTATTCCTTCCACCTTTTATTAAAGAAAACGTTCCTATTATGAACTGTATCAATTGAAAACATATCACATTTTGAACTGTATAATCTTTGAATCAACATATTATAACAATTTCTCCGCGAAATATTGTAACAACTAAAATCGGCTGTATTGTCCTTTACAGCTGTTTACTTTACTTTCAAATATATTAGTTGGTTACCTCAGCTGGTACATGTAGTTCAAGCTAGTATGATTATGATTGGGACATGTAGTCTAATGCTTTACTAACGTAACCCTAATATAAAATAAACTTTATAGTGCTAATTAAACTGTAAAGTGGTACATGCACAGTTGTCCTGAGACGCATCCATGTGTATATATAACCCACAAGTCACAGCACATTACAACACACAACAAAAACACACAAACGATCTCTTCGTTTGCTTTCTCAAGAATATTTACCAATGGAGGCAATGAAGATGAAAATCTTTGAGGCTGTCTTGGTGGCAATGATGGCTTTCTCTGCCGTGCAACAGGCTGCCGCCGTGGAGGCTCCAGCGCCGAGCCCTACCTCTGATGCTTCCTTGTATATTCCTGCTTTTGTCGCCACCGTAGCAACTCTTGCGTTTGGTTTTCTTTTCTAAGCAAATTTGTTTTTGAGTTTTTAGTTTGTGTAGAAATCATATTCTTGATTTCATATTTATTTGTCACTCTTATGTATTGTTTAAGACTTGCCACATCCGAATATCAATAACATCTCTATCACTTTCTTTGTATGATTATTTACCAAAAGAAAAAGAAAGAATGCAAGCTGATAAATCTCAAGTGTGGTAATTGAATGAAAGATTAATCTAGTTGAAAGCGTAACCTCAAAGCATATTTTGATTATTACGGTTAGGAGACATAGATTTAGGTCGAGACAAGAAGCAAACAACTTAATTGAAGCTTCATAATCACGAAATATTCTAAGAAAAGTATGAATTAATTAATTTTATACTAACATGACGTTTAACCTCAAGTATTGTTTTTTTTTCATCTTACATCATCATACACAGTCGCATGATTAAAAATTATTGACTTAAAAGACGGATTTATCGGTCCAACCGGTTAAGTTACTCAAATTTTAAAACATTGGTTCATATCTGACTATTGATCGGTTCGGGTCGATTAGCATGGCAAATACCACTGGTTAAACTGAAGATTAACCAAAGGATTCATTATTTAAAGAGTCGGTTTGGTTGACAAGGTAATATGCGTTATAATCTTAAGAGAATGTGGAAATAAATAAAAAATGGAGCTATAAAAGTCTTTTCTAACTCATTTTAACCATTCCAGAATCAAAAACCCTAACGGTACCAGCTCTCGCCGCTGGCTCTACTCCGTGCGCCTCTCGTCGTGTTCCGCCGATCCTTTGATATCATCCAGTACTGTGGTACGATTCCTCTTCCCTTCTCATCTCTTTTCCTTCCTCCTCGTCGACGACTGTAAATTACCTGATCTGGCGATCGCCAGCCGCTAAGTTGTTTGAAACATTTCGAACTCAGTGACCTAATTTGCATAATGGGCCTTAAATATTCCGGCCCAACAGTTGATTTGCTTTTTTGAAAAAAATTAAATTTCTCTTGAAAAAAAAAATAAAAAAGGAAAAAAGTAGGGAAAAAATGAGAATATAGATAGCTATGGCAATAAGGCTAACCCTTTTCCCGGTTACAGCTACACCGCCGTCATCTCTCTGCTCCTTCAATCTCCTTCCTCGTTCGCGTCACTTAGCTTATTTTTCATCATCTTCTTCTTCTCTATCTGGTAAAATCCTTTTTTTTCGCGTTTCTCTCGGTCGTTGTCTCTATTGGTTTCTCCTCTCGCATTTGCTCCTCGAGCTCTTTAGCTTATTGAGTGGCATTTTTACTGCAATATTTGTTAATATAAGATGGTTGTTATTAGCAGAGATAGTCGATTGTTAACCTCATGCTTTCTTTTTTAGGGTTTGGTATTTTGCGCGTAGTGATTCCGTTTGTGTTGTTTTTGTAACCTAGACAGGTGTGTTGAGAGCAACGACTAAGAGACTTTCTTTTGCAACCAGATCAAAGTCAGTAACAACCATGGCAGCTGTAAGTCATACTTTTTTCTTTTTTATTTAAAATTCAAAGAGACAGTGTAAATTCATAACTGATACTTTTTGAGTTATGTTGACAGAGTCAAGAATTCACGGGGAATCTAAAACATGAGGTTGAGAAGCTCTTTGCTGAGTCTCTTAGATTAACGGTTCCTGATGGAACTAGTGTTGACACCGAAGTTGCTGCCTCTCTTCCTGGAAAACCTGGAGATTACCAATGGTTGGTTCTCCCCTCTATCACTTTGTTTAATTGAAACTTAAAGTTCCTTTCTGGTTTTGTTAAATTACATCAAATTGTGTTGGATGCAGTAACAATGCAATGGGTCTATGGTCCTTAATTAAAGGAAAGGGTACTCAGTTCAGGGGTCCTCCAGCTGTTGGTCAGGTTGGTGGTTTGTATGCTCTGTGTCCTGTCGCAGATTCTTATTGGATTTTATATATCTCTTTAACTCTTGTTTTGTTACGTTTTTTTATTCACATAGGCTATTTCGAAGAATCTACCTGCTTCTGAGATGGTGGAAACTTGTTCTGTAGCTGGCCCTGGGTTTGTTAATCTTGTACTATCAAGCAAGTGGATGGCTAAGGTGCTCCTCTTGTGTAGAGAAGTTGTATTAATCGTTTTTTTTTTTAATTGTGGTATGAATAATTTATGTGTAGCTTGGTTGTTTTCTAATATGCAGAGTATTGAAAAAATGCTTGTCGAAGGAATTGATACATGGGCGCCTACTCTTCCAGTTAAGAGAGCCGTGGTTGATTTTTCATCTCCTAACATTGCTAAAGAAATGCATGTTGGTCATCTGAGATCAACCATCATTGGTGACACGCTAGCTCGCATGCTCGAGTTCTCAAAAGTTGAAGTTCTACGAAGAAACCATGTTGGTGACTGGGGAACACAGGTAAGCTGCTTTTCTGCTCTTCACATGATTTCTTAACCTTGAAACCGAGTGCTTTGTTGTTGTATTCCATTATTTTTTCAAAGAAATAAAAAGCCTTTTTATTCTGCAGTTTGGCATGCTCATTGAGTACCTGTTTGAGAAATTTCCTGATACCGAGAGTGTGACTGAGACAGCCATTGGAGATCTTCAGGTCAGCTGCCTTACATCATATGGCCTTTCAAGCTTTTACTGTTTCTTCTTCGTACCATTATTGGCATAATACGCTTTATGTTAAGAACTAAAGCAATTTATTTTCTAACTTCATATGTCATTTAACAGTCGTTTTACAAACAATCAAAGACTAAATTTGATAATGATACGGACTTCAAGGAAAAGGCACAGAAGGCTGTTGTCCGTCTACAGGTAAATAACATTTTTCATAACCTGAATTATTGGTGCTTTCTTCTGTTTGGCAGTGTGCCAATGTGCCTTGGTTGCAAGATCTAAACTTCTCACTTGTCTTTTTTTTTTTCCCGTTTCTTCAATGCAGGGCGGAGATCCTATCTACCGCAAGGCTTGGGCTAAGATTTGTGAAATCAGCCGAACCGAATTTGCCAAGGTTTACCAGCGCCTTAAAGTTGAGCTTGAAGAAAAGGTAAAAGAAGAGATATCGATACCGTTATTTGAGACAAAATAGAGAGATAGGAGGTATATGGATGGTTAATGAAAAATACATTGATTCATGCCAGGGTGAAAGCTTTTACAACCCCTATATCGCCAACGTAATTGGGGAATTGGATAGCAAGGGGTTGATTGAAGAAAGTGAGGGTGCTCGTGTGATTTTCCTCGAAGGCTTCAACATCCCACTCATGGTTGTAAAGAGTGACGGTGGTTTTAACTATGCCTCAACTGATCTGACTGCTCTTTGGTGGGTTATCTTTCCTTCTATAAAGTTTCTATAATTGCACTTTTTTGGGAAAATACATCTCATTTATTATGACTTATCGTGTTTGTATTTACTGAAGTGTGTGACTTTACCTGAACTTGCATATTGTTTGATGATGAATTGTCTGCTGATACTTATATATTCATGTCCCAGGTATCGGCTTAATGAAGAGAAAGCTGAGTGGATTGTATATGTCACCGATGTTGGTCAGCAGCAACATTTTAATATGTTCTTCAAAGTAGGGTTGATGATTATTTTTATTTTCTGCTTCGACGTGTCTTGCATAAAACTGTTGGTCGTAACTGTGGTTATCATGTTACAAAGTAGGGTTGATGATTATTTTTATTTTCTGCTTCGACGTGTCTTGCATAAAACTGTTGGTCGTAACTGTGGTTATCATGTTACTATGAATCAGGCTGCGAGAAAAGCAGGGTGGCTTCCAGAGAGTGATAAAACTTACCCTAGAGTTGACCATGTTGGTTTTGGTCTCGTCCTTGGGGATGATGGCAAGCGATTTAGAACTCGATCTTCAGATGTAGTTCGCCTAGTTGATTTGCTAGATGAGGCTAAGACGCGCAGTAAAACGGCCCTTATTGAGCGTGGTATGTCAGCGTTGTTAATTGTTGAAATAACTTTGTCAGTTATTGTGTTGTTTTATTCATACTTTATATGTTGTTTCTCTGTTTAGGTAAGGACAAAGAATGGACTGCGGAGGAGCTAGACCAGACAGCTGAGGCAGTTGGCTATGGTGCGGTGAAGTAAGTATTATGTCTATTCTCGTTTTAGGGATTTTTTTATCAAAGCTCAACAAATATGGTGAATGTTCTACCAGATGTTTTGATAGTGGGCATTTTATTAATTTCATGCTACTGCTAACATGCGGTTTTGTTTAATGTTCTTTCAAGGTATGCTGATCTGAAGAACAACAGATTGACAAATTATACTTTCAACTTCGATCAAATGCTTAGTGACAAGGTACTGGAATTTGCAACCTAGTTTACATAATTGCACTATGCAGTCGGCCTAGACATGCTTATTGGTCACATATCATGTGCAGGGAAATACAGCTGTTTACCTTCTTTACGCTCATGCTCGGATTTGTTCAATTATCAGAAAGTCTGGCAAAGACATTGATGAACTAAAGAAGGTATTTTAGCTGCATGATCATAAATTATCTTAGTTTTATTCATTGTTCCTCTGTTCTTCCTCTTGACTACAACTGAACTTTTCCATTGTCTCAATCTATTTGGTTTGAAAGCTTGAACAGTTTTGAGAAGTGGTTAACTGTTAACTGATACCAGTGTGTATAGTGAGCATTCATTTTCATATCTCACGGAGACTCTACCGTACAATGTAGAATAATTCTTACGTTTTAACGTCTTCTTTATTGCAGACAGAAAAGCTAGCATTGGATCATCCTGAAGAACGAGCACTTGGGCTTCACTTGCTTCGATTTGCAGAGGTAACACATGCTTATCATTAGATATTACTTTCAGACATTGACTCATTTTTCTTGGTAACTATATTTCACAACCCATGATGTGTTAACGATTTGCAGACGGTGGAGGAAGCTTGCAGCAACTTGTTGCCAAACGTGTTGTGTCACTACCTCTACGATCTATCTGAACGCTACACGTCCTTCTACTCCATTCATCAGGTGTGAATTCTGAAACTCTTACGTTTCTATTTAATATTTCAATATCAGACTGCATAGCTGCATGATCGAACCACTTTTTTGAATCTCAGTTAACAATATGAACTTTGTTTTGTTACAGGTCATTGGTTCAAAGGAGGAGGCAAGCCGTCTCCTACTTTGTGAAGCGACGGCTGTAGTAATGCGGAAATGCTTCCACCTTCTTGGAATCACCCCTGTTTACAAGATTTGATGCCATCACTATCACAATTAAACTACTCAAAAAGACAAAGTACTATCTGTTTTGGCTTTTTTTTTTCTGTACAACTAGTGAGAAAGGAGTTTTAACTCTAAGTTATCATTTATCTTGGGCGACCTTGTATACAAATGATTACAATGTTAAAACTGAATCTGAAAGTTTGTTTCGTCATGTCATTGAACTTAATTTAGTTGGATCATGAAAGAGTTTTTGAGGTTCTTGTGGCTTTCATGGAGATTGTAGTATTGGGTCGATATAGCCTTTTGCAAGTCTGATTCAATTGTCCTTCGGAGATCCTGCATGTCTTCATTCTTGGTCTTCTCTTGACAAGATCGGTAAGGCATGTGACATTTGCTAGAGATGTGAATGACTCAGATTTGCCTTTGTAATACTTCGAAAGTCCTTTCTTCTCACGGCTGTTTAACAACAACACAACCAAAAAAAATAAACTGTGATCAATCAAAGAGGATACGCATAAAGAGATGCTTCTCTGATCCTCAGATGAATATATTTTAAGAATACTATATATTAACCCCCTTATATTGATCATACAAGAAGCACCAATCATTCTCTATGGATTATTATTTGTGTTCTTTATACAACCTGGAAAGTAAAAAGGGTTACATGAAGGGAACAGAGTCATTACATGGTCGGTAGCTGAGAGATGAGGTCTGATAAATCGTCAAAAGCTCCGTTAGAAGAGAAAGAAGAGGAAGGGTCCTCTGTTGAATCAGATGAATCTTTTGCAGAGGATCTTGAAACTCCTTCAACAACATCTTCTTCATTAGTTGTCCAAATGAAACCACCAACGTGAATGCTCATCTTTTTTTTTCAGTTATGTTTGTTATCTGATTTTCTTTTTTCAAGGAAAACAAGAAAAGGTTTCTTGAACAATAATTAAGAACATAAACTATAGAGTTCTTGTCAAGATGTTTCCGTTTTGCTCTAGTAAACAACAAAATAAAGATAACTCTGTATATATACATAGTTATGCATGCATGTAGATAAGCGAAGAGATACGGTTTTAGTAATAGAAAAAGGATAAGAATAACTATAAATTTGTATGTATACTATTTGGCTACGTGCAAGCTGTGGACAACGTTGTCTCTTATCTCAAATTGTTCATACCTTATTTTTCTCTCGCCTCATGTTTTAATCAGATTGTTATTTTTAACAGCTAAGACTTTATTTTTCTGAACACACCGTTAAGACTCATCCTCTTAATTCACCATGTGAAAAGTTGCGAACTCTGCGATTAGCGGACGAATCCTAGGTCCAGAATGTGTGTGGATAAGCACGTTCAACATTTTAAAGACACGTTCGGGTAGACGCGCTACATATAATAATACCTCAAAATTATGAGAAATTCTATAAAATTTTAATATTAGCAAGTTTAAAGAATCTGGTCAAATTATCTAGAAGAAAGCTTACAACACGCCTGGATAAAAGTGATGTATATGTCCTAGACACTCGTGATATTCAATTGAAACATCAAATAGATTTCGACTAGATTCGCACAGGCTGAGCCAAAGACTGAACTACTTAGGTACGAACTGATAGCAGCGAGTTGATGATCACGTGAACTGGAAAGTGAAAAGAATCCTTGAAACCAGAATAAAACAAAAAAAATTTGGAATCCTTTTAGATTTTAACCTGCTACTATCTATCGTACAAAGAAGATTATTATCCTTCTTTAACAGTCAGGTTTTATATCCATCGTACAAACTCTATATTTTGTTTTTAAATAGGAAGAGTGGTTTTCAACAACATGGTTTTGAGGAGGCATAACCAAAAAAGAGAATTTTCTTGTAGGTATTATAATGATTCGAAATTTAATACAGGATAAAGATATATTCCTACCTTCTGCTGCTTTATATGACTCACTAGGTGTTTTGCCCGCACTTGCGGGCATAATTCTCTTATGAATATTTATTAGTTGATGTTTCATTAATTTAAAAATTAGCATAGTAAGTTATTATTTATGTTTTCAAAAAATAAAAATCAAACATCAAATAGTTATCAATGACAAAACTCAACCATCAGAAATATTTAAAAGAATATATTTCTATAACTATTTTCTTGATTTATATTTAATTATAATATTTATATCTTAATTTTAAATTTTATATTAGAAAAGCATATTTTCAAGATANTAAAAATTAGCATAGTAAGTTATTATTTATGTTTTCAAAAAATAAAAATCAAACATCAAATAGTTATCAATGACAAAACTCAACCATCAGAAATATTTAAAAGAATATATTTCTATAACTATTTTCTTGATTTATATTTAATTATAATATTTATATCTTAATTTTAAATTTTATATTAGAAAAGCATATTTTCAAGATAGCAATATGATGCATAAGTTATTTATTTTCTGAAAATATAGTTTGATAATTCTTTTAACTATATATTAATTATATAAGATTATAGAAATTATGACATATAACTAAAATTACCTAAAATCATTGAGAACTTAATGAATCAGCAAATTCACTTCTTAAATATTTTTTCTTGAGTGATGATTTATATTTAATTAATAATAGATAATTTCTATTTTACTTTTAAATTATATAATATAAAAATATATTTTCAAGATAACAACATAATACATAAGAATTACTATATTCTCTAAATGTATAATATTATTAAAGTAAAATTATTTCAATTATAGAATAACTACAACTTTTTATATCTTAATTTTAAATTTCAAATAGAAAATATATTTTCAAGACAGTAGCTTAATACATAAGAAGTATTTTATATTTTAAGAATCTGATACTATAAATATAAATTTGTTTAAATATATAATATAAAATTATATAAATTAATAAATTATCAAAATTACCTAAGATCATGGAAAATATGACAAATCAGCAAACATCAAATTCACTTCTTAAATAATATTATAGATTTTTTTACATGTTAATTTAAAATTTTATGATAGCAAAATATTGTTTTCAAGATAACAGCATAATACATAAGAACTAACTTATTTTCTAAAATATCATATTATTAATATAAATTAGTTTTAATTATATAATCAATAATAAACAAATTATGGAAATTCTGATAAATGATCAAAATTACCTAGGATCATAGAGACAAATCAACAAATTCACTTTTCAAATTTTTTTTGATGATTTATATTAAATTATGATTTATATTTAATTATCAATATTAAATTATTAATATTAATTCGTTTTAATTATATTTAAATATCAAATTATTAATATAAATTCGTTTTAGATAAATATAATAGTGTTTATTTCTTAATTTAAAATTTAAGTTTTATATATAAAAAAATATTTCAAGATAACAACATAATTCATAAGAATTATCTTATTTACTAAAAATCTGATATATTTATATAAATTCGTTTTTATTAAATACTAAGTTTTATATGAAATTATTTAAATAAGGTAAATAAACAAATTTACCTAAAAGAACATGACAACTTAACAAATTTACTTTTTAAATAATAGTATAGATTAAATATTAAATTATCAATATAAATCCTTTTTAGATAAATATAATAGTGTTTATATCTTAATTTAAAATTTAAGTTTTATATATGAAAATATATTTCAAGATAACAACATAATTCACAAGAATTATCTTATTTACTAAAAATATGATATATTAATATAAATTCGTTTTTATTAAATAATAAATTTTTATATGAAATTATTTAAATAAGGTAAATAAACAAATTTACCTAAAATCAAGGAGAACATGACAACTAAGCACATTTACTTCTTAAATAATAGTATAGATTACATATATGTCCAAAATGAAAAATTAGTACATGCAAGTTTTTATTAATTTTCTTCAAAACTGAAAATCATACTAAACAAATATAGAATTTACATTAATTTAGTTTAAAAACTAGTTAACTACAGCTAATCAAGTCGGGATTTTCTTAAATTGTTGACTCATTGTTATGTGATTATGTTTATTATAAGAAAAAAATTAAGAAAAATAGAAACATATCATAATAGTTCATTATTTAGCATATGTACCAATTTTCTTGATATTTTACTACTCTAAATTATTTAGCATATGTGTCGATTTTTTTTCTTCTTTTATACTTAATAACTACCTCTTTAGGTAGTATGCAATGTTTTCAGTATAAATAGCGCTGCTAGGGGGTTTGAAGCAAACACACAAACTGTAACCAACAAAATGGAGAAGAAAGAATCGTTTTGGATGAACTTGAGAGAAGAAGACTTAAACGAAGAAACAAAGACTCTAGTCTCTACACTCCCTTCAGAGAAAGAGTACCTTGGCCGAAACCTCTGCAAGTACCAAGGTTCTTGGTATTACTACAACTTTCTCCAAGGTGTCCTCAATTTCCAAAGAGGTTTTCAGCCTCAAGACACCGATGTCATCATCGCATCCTTCCCCAAATGCGGTACCTTATGGCTCAAGGCACTCACTGTGTCTCTCTTGGAGAGATCAAAGAACCGTTCGAGCGATCATCCTCTGTTATCCAACAATCCTCATAACCTCGTACCGGTTCTCGAGATGAATCTGTACCGTGACACCCCAAATCCGGACTTGACGAAGCTCTCATCGTCCTCTCCAAGGCTGTTCTCTACTCACATGCCGTTCCTTACGCTCCAAGAAGCTCTCAAAGACTCTACTTGCAAGGTAGTGTACATTTGCAGGGATGCTAAGGATTCTTTGGTGTCACGTTGGCATATCATTTGCAAGTGTCTGAATAAAGAAGAGGATAGAAACATTCTTGAGTCTATGTTCGAGTCTTTCTGCAGTGGAGTTTGCTTGTTTGGTCCCTTTTGGGATCATATCCTGAGTTACTGGAAAGCTAGCCTGGAAAACCCTAAGCGTGTTCTGTTTCTGAGGTACGATGAAGTGAAAACAGATACTCGTGGTCAGCTCAAGAAACTTGCAGAGTTCTTGGGTTGTCCTTTTTCTGAGGAAGAAGAAAAGAATGGATCTGTGGATGAGATCTTGGAGATGTGCTCTCTCTCTAACCTTAGCAGCTTGGAGGTTAACAAGACAGGAACATCGATCAATGGTATTGATTACAAGAACCATTTCCGCAAAGGGATTGTTGGTGACTGGAAGAATTATCTAACTCTGGAGATGGGGAACAAAATCGATATGATCATGGAGGAGAAACTCAAAGATTCTGGTCTGAAGTTCTGAGTTATGTTCTGAAATGCATTGTAGTTGTAATAATAAAGTAGCTTGTTCCTTTGATATAAGGTTCATGCTGCTTTTGGAATTCTGAGTGATGTCATGTGTTGTTTTTGTCTGTGTTTAATTTCCCCTGAGTGATGTCATGTGCTGTTTGTTTGTCTTGTATTTCCCCTAGTGATGTCATGTGTTGTTTGTGTGTTCTTTAATAAAAGTACCTTAACTTACCTTTATAATTGTTTTAACTACGGTATTATTATAATTTATCGTATGTTGTATGTTACTGGCGTAATCATATGTGTATTATTTTTTTCTTACAGCTTAGCAGCAACGTTGGATGTTATTCAGAGGAATTCCACATGGCTGTTTACGAACAACAGCAGTATACGGCTCAAGAATTGTTTTACCTTATCACATCAGCGAGAGATGCAGGTCCAAGATTCCAGAACAAGAGAAAATGCTCGATTGTGTGGTAGAACGTTCCATAAGCACTTAACATCCATAAATGGGCTTTTGTTGGCCCGTTCTGTTGAGAGTAAAGGCCTGTACACGGAGAATCTATACTTTTGGCATGGAACAGAAATCAAACCAATTATTTGATCAGCTCCTGTCATTGTTGTTGTTTTATTATGTACTTTTAGCAAGTGCTATCAGGTTCTTTTCGATAAAAGTGCTACTATGTTTTGATAAATATTTTAAAAAGTGCTTTTAGAAAATGATTCATTTTGTAATACACAATGTGTTAGTGGAGTTCGTGTGTATGTGTTAGACTTAAAATATTGTAGCTACCAAACGTATTTGTTTAGTTTTATTATGATGGAATATTTTTTTTTTTGATAAAAACAATAACAAGAAGTTTAGATGGACATATACAAACACATCACCATCTTTATACAATTGTAAAATCTGTGCAGCATTTTGAATAAAACCTCATAAACCTAAAAAAATATATCAAACCCTCCAAAAAAATGACTTGTCAAACAAGTCCTACAGATTGGAAAAAATCAATCTAAGGTAACTAAACAAAAAACATTAAATGAACAATAGTCTACTTTTCTAGAAAATATCGACGTTCTCTTTCAAGTTAGTCATCATCATTCATCGTCCTCGTATACGGTATACTTAGAGATTCTTTTTTTTGAAGCTTCTAATGTTTTTATTATTGCGGCAAAATCAGTCTAAGGGCGCCACATGTTTGATGAAGTCATACTTTTAATAAGTAAAGATACCAATCATACCCACAATATTCTCCCAAAACCACCATTCTCATAGCTTTTAACTGGTTACTCTATATCTCCGGTTTTTGATCATTTTGTTTAGCGACTCCACCTATAGTCAAAACTCTTTGATCCTATAAAAAAGGGTTGTCTACTTTCTCTTTGATCTAACATTTTCTCTTTCTTCATTTCAGAGATCGAGCTCCAAGTCATTATTATAGTTTCTATTATGAGTACTGTGGAAAGTAGCAAGCCGAAGATCATCACTGGTTCTTGTGGTTATGTTCTTGAAGATGTTCCTCATCTCTCCGATTATCTTCCTGGTCTTCCTGTATGCTCACATCTCTGTATTCAGCTATTTTCCATGGAAACTTTTTTTATTTACTGTTGTAATCTATACTGTTGTGAAAAGACTAGAAATCTAGATTGATATGATCCGGCTCAAATTTTTAATAATGGTTTTATAGACTTAGGCATTTTGCAATGTTTTATGGAATCAAATGATGGTTCAAGTTTGATTAATGGTTTTGGGTGTTATGTTATTGCAGACTTATCCTAATCCATTGCAAGACAATCCAGCTTACTCAGTGGTTAAGTTAGTCTTCTTTTCACTGATATTTTGAAGGCAAATAAATGTTCTTAGTTATGTTATCCTAAATGTTTCTTTTCTTCCTTTTTTTTTTGTGAATTTTTTCAGGCAATACTTTGTTGATGCTGATGACAGTGTCCCTCAGAAGGTATATTTATATATTTTGGTTTGGAGCTTTCTATAATATCCCTAGCATTCTTGAGAATATAGAGCTCAGGTCTCACTTATTGTTTCTTCTCGTTCTTGTTTAGATCGTTGTTCACAAGGATGGTCCAAGGGGAATTCACTTTAGACGAGCAGGGCCACGTCAAAAGGTTTTTTCCTTTTGTTGGATTGCTTCATTTGAAATAGGATCTCTCGTTGACTACTTGACTTATCATCTCTCTACAGGTCTACTTCGAATCTGATGAAGTCCATGCTTGCATAGTCACCTGTGGGGGTCTTTGTCCCGGCCTTAATACCGTGATTAGGGAAATTGTGAGCAGTCTATCTTATATGTATGGCGTGAAGAGAGTACTTGGAATAGATGTAAGTTTTCATTCTCATCTAGTCACATTCAAGCTCTTGTTTGTTTTATTTTCTCAAGCTTGAATCTTCTTTTTTCAGGGTGGATATAGAGGCTTTTATGCGAAGAACACTGTCTCATTGGACTCTAAAGTCGTAAATGATATCCATAAGCGAGGAGGGACCATCCTTGGGACCTCACGAGGTGGCCATGATACCACAAAGATAGTTGATAGTATTCAAGATCGTGGAATCAATCAGGTTTGGATAATAACCAATAGTTACACCTTGTTTCATCCTAAACTTATGTGAAAACTCAGTTCTTGATGTGGTTGGTGTGTCATCATTCAGGTCTACATTATAGGTGGAGATGGAACACAACGAGGAGCATCAGTTATATTTGAGGTAACTCCCATTTTAACCTTAGCAAGCTTGTAAGATTTCAGAGTATAACCGGTTTTGTGATTGTTGTAACCATGTAGGAAATTAGAAGACGTGGCCTGAAAGTTGCAGTTGTTGGAATCCCAAAAACAATCGATAATGACATACCTGTATCTATGCATCCCTCTCTTACCTCACTTCACTTTCATAAAAATCTCACATTTTTCTTTTGGGTGCAGGTGATAGACAAATCTTTTGGGTTTGACACAGCTGTAGAAGAGGCTCAACGAGCTATTAACGCAGCACATGTGGAAGCTGAGAGTATAGAGAACGGTATTGGTGTTGTCAAGCTTATGGGTCGCTACAGCGGTATGTAATAATATACTCTGCTTCTTCAAGCTCTCTTTGTTAGATTATCTAAAAAAGTGTGTGCACTTTTTTTTAACAGGGTTTATAGCGATGTACGCTACTCTAGCAAGCAGAGATGTGGACTGTTGTTTGATTCCGGAGTCACCATTTTACCTGGAAGGAGAAGGCGGACTGTTTGAGTACATAGAGAAACGTCTCAAGGAGAGTGGTCACATGGTGCTTGTGATTGCAGAAGGTGCAGGACAAGATCTTATGTCTAAGAGCATGGAGTCTATGACTCTCAAAGATGCTTCTGGTAACAAACTTCTTAACGATGTTGGTCTTTGGCTTTCACAAAGCATCAAGGTAGTAAACCCACAAATTACTCAGAAGTGGTAGAATCAGATTAAACCAAACCAAGTGTTTGAAATTTTGGTTTTTGTTACTTTGTTGTAGGATCATTTTAATCAGAAGAAGATGGTGATGAACCTTAAGTACATTGGTACATTTTATATCACTTTTCACTCTCTTTACTATGAGTTTCTTGACGTTTTAGTTAGCTTTGATTGTCTTTTGGTTTCAGATCCAACGTATATGATTCGTGCTGTTCCTAGCAATGCTTCAGACAATGTTTATTGTACGCTTCTTGCTCAGAGCGCAGTGCACGGTGCAATGGCTGGATACACTGGCTACGTCAGTGGTCTAGTGAACGGAAGACAAACCTACATTCCCTTCTACGTAAGTTTAAAAATCTTCATGATCCAATGGTTAAATTAATGAAAAAAAAAACTGCGTTATCATTGTGTGGAATGGTTGTGATGTTGTAGAGAATAACGGAGAAACAGAACCATGTGGTGATAACAGACAGGATGTGGGCGAGGCTGCTGTCTTCAACGAACCAACCGAGTTTCTTGAGCCCCAAAGATGTGTCTGATGATAAAGAGAAGCCCATGTCGGCCCTTCTGGACGATGGCAACTGCAACGGCCCTGTCGATGTTCCTCCAGTCACCAAAGAGATCACCAAGTGACACTTATTAGTCGAAGAACATGATGATGTCCTATATGTTTTAGGTAGTAGTTGAGCGAAATAATTGTGTTTTACGGTTTGATGGTTGAGCATAAGAAAAAATGTTGGACCTCGTAGATGCCTCATTTTTGTAGTTTTCAACTTCTCCATGATACTTCTATAAATTAATTGACAATTTTTAAAAGTATTTAACCAAAACTCATGTGTTTATATGTTGCATACAAAACTCTTAACTTTCTATGTTCTTTTGAGTTTTGGTATTAATTTCCATTGATTCATAGAACTTTCTTGACATGATTCATAGACTTTTTTGACAAAAGAGAGGTGACGTGTGAAAGGTTTATGATTAGGGACCAACAACCTGGGACCTTATCTGGTTATGTCAGAACCAATGATGTTCATTACTTCGATAAAGTAGCAGCACCCTTTGAAAGGACAGGCGATTCCCATCTCAGAGACAACGGAATCGGCAGTACATTCAAAGGCTGCTGATACTTTATCGAGGTAATGAGCATCATTGGTTCTGACATAACCAGATATGGTCCCAAGTTGTTGATCATGGATCACAATTCTATCAGAGTTAAGTGGCCGAGAGTATAGAGAACGATATTGATGTTGTCAAGCTTATGGGGTCGCTACAACAGTGTGTAATATACTTTGCTGCTTCTTTCTTTTCTCGCCTGATCAAGCTCTCTTGTTAGATTATCTGCTAAGTGTGTGTGCACTGTTTTAACAAGGTTCATAGCAATGTACGCTATTCTAGCAAGCAGAGACGTGGACTGTTGTTTGATTCCTGAGTCACCATTTTATCTGGAAGGAGAAGGTGGACTGTTTGAGTACATAGAGAAACGTCTCAAGGAGAGCAATCACATGGTGCTTGTGATTGCAGAAGGTGCAGGACAAGATTTTTAACGATGTTGGTCTTTGGCTTTCACAAAGCATCAAGGTAAACCCACAAATTACACAGACGTAGTAGAATCAGATTAAACCAACCAAAGTGTTTAAAATTTGGTTTTGTGTACTTTGTTGTATGATCATTTTAATAAGAAGGTGATGAACCTGAAGTACATTGGTACATTTCATATCACTTTCACTCTCTCCACTATGAGTTTCTTGACGTCTTTCATTATTAGCTCTGATGTCTTTATACATGATCTGTGCTTTTCCTAGCAATGCGTCAGACAATGTTTATTGTACACTTCTGGCCAATTGTAATATTGTAATATCTAACCAATTGTAATGCAATGCAACCTAAATGCATTAGATCATGAACTAAAATAATGTTTAAAATCATGTAAATACACAAGATATCAAGACATATAAAATGATCATAGTTTCTAAAAACACGTCTATTTTAAATAATGGAAAGGATATTGAAATCCATAATTAATAGTTTCATTTAACTTACGAATACCTCTTTTGATGTATAATAAGATGATTTCTTCTTCATCTTCAACACACTTAATACTACCCCTCTCAAATCTTTATAAAAAGATAGTCCAATCATTTGAGATGGCTGCAACGAACATGACTTTTGAGAAGAGATCGAAGCTGATTTGGCAGTGAATGTTAATGGTGGCAAAGGGGCTTTCGTCACTTTCCTCGCTGAAAACAAATACTCCTGGATGGGTGTGGTCATTCTAGCTAAAGGACTTCGTAAGGATGATCATCATTTCTAAAACAACAGTTGATATTAAATTATTGGAAGAATATCAAAATCCATAATAATTGTTTCAATTTATTCACTCTTTTACTATAAGATGACTTCTTCAAAATTAGCTCATAAATCTCTCTAAGAAGATTTTAATGATTTGATTTATAATGTATTTTTCAAAGAGATGTCCATTAACATTGATAATTGTTTTGTTTGTGGGTCATTAATTCAAACATGTATTAGTTTCTTAATTTTATTTTTTCTAAACATGTTTTAGTTTTTTTTTTGCGAAAAAAACATGTATTAGTTATGGGGGTAAATCGCAATTATATGCTATTATTTTGCTCCTTACGTTGTAACAATACGAATGAGACTCCGATTCTTTAATGTTTTGCACATACATTTTTGATCAACTTTTGCACATACATTGAAAGCAAAAAATATATATATTAGTTTTTTTTAGTAACATCCATCGGTTTTGCAAAACTCCATATTTTCAATGTACAAGACATCATTTCCAACAAATCTGTTAAGTATATAAAAAGATAATTTATATAGCTCTCAAACATTATATATGTCCAGATCAAGTTGTGCATAGGATGACATCCACATGAGTTATTGGAAATTCATCACTCATGGTGCATCTCACCATACTTTATATATTTAGAATTCATCACTCATAATCCTCATGATCTTTCTTTGTTATATGAAAAAATGGAGACCCAAATCAAAAAGGGAAAATTTGTGGTTCGTCCACATTAAATCTAGCCATTTAATCTAAGGAGTTATTGCGTCTCCACATTTATTCTAATTTTAGATTGAGTTTTCTTGATTTATATTCTCCGATTTAATCTTGCTAGACAAGAATTCGATACTTAAACAATTAAGTGTAAAAAACATCATCAAGCAATTTATCCATTAAGTGGATTTTCTATATTAGTTCGAGGTTTCCGATTGTGACACCATCCGATCTTTGTAAATTTGGTAATTAGATTTGAGACATATCATCATATATCATTCAATGATCAGTAATAGATTCGTGTGTATAAATATGATATACATAAAGAATATCATGTTTATAAATACATGATTCAACATTTATTGTTTTTCATCAACGTTTCTAAAAAAACGAAAACACTAAATAAGGAAACCAATAATGCGATCTTCTATAATTAATTCTCTCATTTACTTTCTAAAGTATCTCTCTGCCTTTATATATAATACGATCTAGGCGAGGGCTTTTTCATCACCCATCTTGCATACATTTAAAAAAACTGCTACAAAAAGTTACTGTTTGATCTTTCTGAACTTTTATTTTTTTGAGATGGCTACAATGAAGATGACTGTTGAGAAGGAAGCTAATCCCAACGGTGGGAAAAGAGCTTACGTCACTTTCCTCGCTGGTAACAAAGATTACTGGATGGGTGTGGTTGGCCTTGCCAAAGGACTTCGCAAAGTGAAGTCGGTCTATCCTCTTGTGGTGGCAACTCTCCCAGATGTGCCTGAGGAACACCGTCAAATTCTGGTGGCTCAGGGATGCATCATCCGTGAGATTGAACCTGTCATTCCACCGGAAAACAAAGCTGGTTATTCCATGCCTTACTTTGTTCTCAACTACTCCAAACTTCGTATTTGGGAGGTAAAATCTTACTTAGTATTGGGATCATATAACCACACGTCTTGTCTCATTTTATATGGTTAACTCATTTTTACGGTATAATAAATGCAGTTTGTGGAGTATGAGAAGGTGATATACCTAGATGGAGACATACAAGTATTTGGTAATATCGATCATCTTTTTGATTCTCCCCCCGGTTACTTGTATGCGGTTAAAGATTGTTTCTGCGAGATATCATGGTGCAAAACTCGCCAATACCAGATCGGCTACTGCCAGCAGTCACCTGAAAAAGTGACATGGCCTGTGGAAAGCCTTGGTTCTCCACCTCCGATATATTTCAACGCTGGTATGTTAATGTTTGAACCGAATCTCGTCACTTACGAAGATCTTCTCCGTGTTGTTCAAGTTACTACTCCAACTTACTTTGCGGAACAGGTTAGTGTATTGTATTTTTTCATTATTTGATCTGAGTTTCTTTTATTTAATAATTTAAATATTATTGTTTATTTTTTGTAGGATTTCCTGAATGTGTACTTTAGAGACACTTACAAGCCAATCCCTTCCACTTACAATTTGGTGTTGGCTATGCTTTGGCGTCATCCTGAAAATGTTGAACTTGATCAAATTAGTGTCGTTCACTATTGTGCAAATGTAAGTATTGTTGTGTTTAATTCATTAATTATTTTTCTTGACATAGATATAGAGATTCATTTTACTAGATATTTATTTTCCTATTCAAATTTATAGGGTTCAAAGCCTTGGAAATATGATGAAACCGAAGAACGCATGGACCGTGAAGACATAAAAATGTTGGTGAAAAAATGGTGGGAGATTTACGAAGATCCGAGTTTGGACTACAAGAACTATGTCGAGGCTGAGTCTAAGCTGAATCCGAATCCGATCGCTGCAGCATTAGCTTCCAATGAAACTGGTGGTGATGACCTTACCAACCTTGCCCCATCTGCTGCATAAGAAAGTTGTTTTTGCGCAACCTTTTTTTGGTTTTTTTTTGTTTTGCTTTTGTTTTAGTTCAAGGTTTAGCTATAATATATATAGCAACTTTGTTTGATTTGTTTTGATTCTAGAGTGTTTGATTTTGTGTTTGGTTTGACTATTGTGTCAATGCCGACCTTGATCACTCTTGCTTTTGTGTTCCTTTCGTTACTCTTCTTTTTATGAGTAATCGACAATAAAATGATTTGGCTTTACTTTTCTCTATTCGTTCATTTTTGTTAACTTTTCAGTGTGGTTATGCTTGATACCATTATAGTTGAATAAAACATGAGTTTTGGTTAAACTTTTTTGAAAGATTGTCAAAATGGAACGAAGATTTATCCGCTCATAAAATCAGTGTGGAACATTTTTTTATGCCAAACATGAGGCATTTACAAGGAGCAACATTTTGTTAGGCCAAGTGAAAGACTTAAATGTTAAACCGTCAAACCTAATTATTTTGTTCAATTACTACCTAAACATATATAGGACGTAATCATATTCTTCGACTCATCAGTGTCACTTTGTGATCTCTTTGGTGACTGGAAGCTCATGGACCGTTACCATGTGATAAGAATCTCAAATTTAGGAGATAGTAATTTGTGCCGGAGTCTGGTGATTAATTTTGGTAAAGACACAAATTCTTAGAAGCAAGACAACATTGATATGTTTCTAGTGTTTTATTTACATAGTTGTACATGTCCTGAAACTATGATATTTATCGTGTCCAAATGGATAAAAAATGGGAGTGTAAGAACTCAACGACACTAACAAAAGTTCATGAATGATAAAACTATTAGACGCAAAGGATGGAATGATAAAACTTAGCAAATGGATGATCAAAACGAATCACATGATGGCAAGATTGGCAGAGATCAAGAGGTTAGTACACTTGTTTGTTTTGATAAAAGCAGAAAGTTATGCGACCAAAATACTCCCAAGTAAAAGTTAAGAATGAACGAGTATGTTGACTGTTACCAAAAAAAAATGTTGAATCAATCTTCCCCTGTTATCGGCCATTCTTCTTTTTAAAAGCTTTATTGATGAGCTGGTTATAGCCTGATTCATCTGATAATCTCAGCTTATTTCGGTGGAGAGGACTATATAGAGTGGGGCTCTTTTGAGCCGTTACGATGTTACTAAACAGAGGCCCAAAAAGGCCCGTATAGTATATGTAATAAAGAGGTAACAAAACCCCTAAAGATACAGATTTTAGGAAATTAAATATCATTTCTTGATAGTTATTTTTTTCTATTTTACAACACTTTCGTACACTTTAAAAAATATTAATTGAGAATATTTGAACTAATTAAATATCATTTCTTGATAGTTATTAAACTTTATAGTACTAGTAAATAACAAATAATAAATTCATTGTATTTTTGACATGCAGGAATACTTTAAACAAACACTGTCTCTATTCCTTAAAGATACATATTTTTTAAAAAAAAAATTGTTTCAAAAATATACATTTTCAAATTTTCGATGTATTAATTAATTGTGAATTTTAGGAAAATTAATTGTATTTACTGTATTCTTACTGGTTTTGAATTATAAAAAAATATAGAATCACAAAAAGAATGTATTTAATATTTAAAATTAATATGTTTTATTAATCTGTATGAATAAATAAAAACATAAATCTTAAAGAACGGAGGGAGTACTTTGAGAGAATATGTTCTTGTAGCATCCTACGGTTTAACAAAACACGAGTTTGTATTTGTGCGTTATCCAATTCATTTTAACCTGATTTGTTTTAAAAATTTAACACCATATTCTCTATTTTAATTCATATATTTATTTTTTACAATATAATAATTACATATTAATAATTTTATTATAGTTATTAAAAACTAAAACTACATAATTTGTTTGAATTTTGGTAGTTAAAATAGAAAATTAGAAAGAAAAAAATGGATGTTAAAGGAATTAGTATTAGGATCCACTGAATTGTATAAAAGATAATGTAGAATGTTAAAAAAAAAAAGAAAATGAGTGTTGAAAATAATATTGATGTTGAAACCATTGTATATGGTCTAAGAAAAAATGTTTAGAATATAATATAGTTGGTTATAATGGAAAAAAATTTAAACAAAATTTGTATTCGAATGAAGTGAAAATAATATCTATTATAAAAAAAAATTTATGAATTTAATATAGTTTTAGGAATTTGAGTCAAAACGCTCTCGTTTCATTGAAAGTTTTTTTTCAGCTAAAGCCTTTTTTTAGTCACGGGCTATTTAGAAGCCCAGACCATATTGTTTTAAGCAAGTCCGTTTCTTTAGCCCAATCGGGCAATATCTCTACACTAAGCATTTAGATAAACAAAATGAAGAGAAACCTCACTAAAACAAGAATCAAACGATTAAAGAATAAAGAAAAATCAATGTTCAACTAAAAAACAGAGTAGGTTTGCCTATATAAGTGAAGAGTGAAACTGGAAGACATCGTCATTTCATTTCATCATCACCATCATCATCATTATAAATTATCATCATCATCATCATGTCAATCTCTAGGGAGTCGAAGATTCTTGGTAAGAAACATTTTCTTTCATTACACTTTAGCAAACTTTATTTTGACTGAAGGTTACCAGTTTTTTTTTGTTTTAATAAACTAACGAGCAAATGATAAGGAATTTGATTACAAAACTTGATGATAATTATTGTCGTAGATGCAATAATCGATGAAAAGAAACTGGGAGAGGCAAATGATGAATTTGATGCCGTTGAAATCAACTGCTTGGGATATGGTTTCAGGTATGGTATCTCTCAACAAAAAAAAAGTTTTTTCATAAGAAGTCTAAATTGATATATATATTAAAAATCTTGTTATATTTGGTTAGGGATTATGAAAATGCCGAAAGTAAAAGACAGAAAGGAGTTGAGGAATTCTACAAGATGCAACACATTCACCAGACATTTGATTTTGTATGAAAAGTTATCTATCTTGTTTATAAATAATTTAATTTAATATTCAAGAGCTAAATATATTCAATGCCTGGTAAATTTTAGTTGAGTAATCTGATACTGTAAATTTAACAGGTGAAACAAATGAGGGAAGAGTACAAAAAAATGGAAAAGATGGAGATGAGCGTGTGGGAATGCTGTGAACTTCTCAACAGTGTCGTTGATGACAGCGATCCTGATTTGGACGAGCCACAGATTCAACACCTTCTCCAATCTGCTGAGGCTATCCGTAAGGATTACCCAGACGAGGACTGGCTTCATCTAACGGCACTGATTCATGGTAGTTATACGCTTTAAATTATATTTACATACTTACACGTAATTGTGAACCATTTATACCAATGTACAGCGTAATGATAGTTATTTTAAAATAATTACTAAATCTTATATTCTTTCTGTTTGTTAGACAAACCTGGTGTAATATCACAAATTTTTGGTTAAACTGTTTTTTTTTTCAGATCTTGGAAAAGTCCTCCTGCTACCAGAATTTGGGGGTCTTCCCCAATGGGCTGTCGTTGGTTTGTATTGTTTTGTGGTTAACATTCTTATTTTATTACTCATACTTATAGTTATGACTTCAAAGTACTTCTGTAAAATTCATAGGCGATACGTTTCCCGTTGGCTGCGCCTTCGACGACGCAAATGTTCACCACAAGGTACAAAAGCTCTATAGTATTACATTTTTGGATCAAACTAGTCTATTAATCTTAAAACTAATTGTTATTTTATATATTTATTTGGTAAAACCGTAAAAGTAACTTTTTTTTCTCAAACCCGTAAAAGTAACTCATATACGACTTCTAAGTACAATGGGACAAACAAATAATATCATTTAAAATGCTAAACTGATTTTGGTAAAATGTACATAGCCAATAAAAGGAACAATAATGTCTAGAAATCTTTATGGCCTACAAAGGCTCTTTAAGTATCCTCTGAAAGTGACATTTTGTCGCCTCTTCTTTAAAGATACCAGAACCTTCAAAACGTTCGCTAACAAAATTTAAAATTAATTGCAGTATTTCAAGGACAACCCGGATCATAGAAACTCAAAGTACAATACAAAACATGGAATCTACGATGAAGGCTGTGGACTGGAAAATGTATTTATGTCTTGGGGACATGATGACTACATGTTCATGGTAATAAATACAAAATAATTGTTTATCTCCTTTGGATTTATTTTCTTAGTATTTCCTTAAATACATATCTAAGTAAATTTATATTTTTTTTTTTTCAAATAGGTGGCCAAGGCGAATGGCACGACTTTGCCTAAGGCTGCCTTATTCATCGTTCGCTACCACTCGTTCTATCGTATGTAGTAATTAAATCTTCAATATTATATTAGCACATCGTTTTTATAATATGGTCCAGGAATTCATAACGATACTCTCTCATCACTAACTATTACGCACATTTAAATTAAATAACATGCAGCCCTACACAAGGAGGGGGCCTACACCCACCTGATGAACGACGAAGACCGAGAGGGTCTCAAGTGGCTTCAGATATTCAAGTAAGAAATTATCATTAGTTAATATTTTTACTGTGTCCGATAATATACCTTCCAATACTATTATACTTCACATTGCAGCAAATATGATCTATACAGCAAAAGCAAAGTTCTTGTTGACGTTGAACTAGTAAAGCCGTACTACATTTCCCTGATCAACAAGGTAAAAAAACGTTCTTTATAGAAATAGTACTTTATAACACATATAAAATAGTATGCAGAACCTATAATTCTATATAATATACATCTAGTATATCATTCATCTTTAGTATATGTTACGTACATGTTTTATACCCAAGTTCTGATATTTATCATAACAAGTTGTTTTTTCTATCATGCAGTATTTTCCGTCGAAGCTGAAATGGTGAGATAGTACAACGAGATTCAGATAAGTCTGGTGGTGGGTTGGGAAGTTATGCGTGGATGGCTCGAAGGTCATGTAGTAACGGATCTTAGTTTCTGTTTTATCATGTAGTAATAAAATAAAATGAATATGTATTAGTGTGGACATCTATTATGAATCTATCTTTGTTGTGATAGCGCTAGACTTGTTGGTGTTTTCTTTATGAACTATATAAGTGATTATATCATTCGGATTCGAACTGACTAGACTCTACGTCATCAGGTTTACATATTCTTAAATTTCATGTTGTCGCGACTAGTTTTCTTAAATTGTTGCAAAGCCTAAAACCTACAGTACATTTTTAACAATTTTCAAGAAAATGACCGAATATTTATATCAGTAATGTACATATCAAAAAATGATATTACTATCACTAATGTACAATTAAATACATGAAGCGGCGATAGCTTGCAGTTGGAGAGCATTATCCTATTATTAATATGAAAAATACATTTAAGGGTAGTCTTATCAAAAAGACTATGGAATAAAGACACGTTTCTAATGAAACAGCTTTTTTTTTATGTAGCTTCGCCAACACTAACACTGCCAGCTCAATCTTTATCAGTGAAATTCACCCGCCTTCATGACTGTCTTTCTGTCTTGAAAAATAATCTTTATAATTGTTATTCTATTTTGGTGAAAAACACAGAAGTCTACTCTGCAAACATAGAAGTCTAGCCAGCCTAACGTGAAATTTAATAGATTATGTGACACTTTCACATGCAGTGCCAGTCCTTTATATTTTTAGACTGTAAGCAATTTAAAAAGAAACAAGCCCTCATAATATGCAGAGACTTTAAATAATTCACCTTTACATTCCAAAATATGTATTAGGACAAAGGCAAGGTCAGGTAATCGACCCCAACAAACCTACCTCTCTTGTTTTATTTCATTAACTACTAGACTATTTAAAAATTATTGGAAACTTATAGCCGATGATTTACTAAACAGATGAAAGTCGGAAGTCAAAGCTTTCATAGCTTCCCTTTGGAGCTGCTACTGTTCACATGTGGTAGATATTGTAATTGCATAAGGAAGATGATAAATAATTTATTCGTGTAGAAAACATATCAGTAGAATTAAGCTAACATTAAATATATGAAAAGTCAGAATGATTAAAATCTTAATTATAATAGATAATTAATTAACCATGTGGTCTGGTGGTTTTCACTAGACTAAGAATAGTCTCTTATTGGTTTAGGAATCGACTATGTTCCTGTACAAAATTGCTAACATTTCACAGTGTGTAAGTCTCCAGAAGATTAGTTGTACAGTTTTGGTTTCATTTTTTAATATTTCTGCTTAACGCACCAAAATCTGATCGGTCTTGTGCTAAGATTGGTACAATGGTGCTCGAGATCGACCCTACTCAAATCCAAAGGTACAGTAATCTAAACCGATCTTGTGAATAGGCATCGTTCGCATGTACAAAAGGTACGTGCAATAACATTGTATTCTTGCGGAAAATTTAAATGGTTGAATTGAAGTAATATTATATCAAAGGGTCGAGGCAAAGTCATGCAAAGGGGGTGGTCCCTTGGACATTGTGGTCTAAATTAGGTCATCAAAAGAGTCCTTTTTTTTTTTTTTTTTTTTGAGAAAGTGAAGAGTCCTCTACTTCTTTTAACACAATAAATCTACTAAAAAGTACGTTTGCTTTTTGGTATGTGTTAGTTTTTTTAAAATAAAATCTATACGAATTTGTGCCAAAAAAGATTAAATATATACGAATCGTGAAATATAAATTGATATTTGTTGTTGTTGGTCTCTCTTAAATATTAATAGATACTAATATTGAACAAAAACGTGTTAATTTGCAGGTGCAGTTACATTATTACGTGTTCCTAGCAATAATTACACGTGAATCAAGTATCCCATGCCCATCATCCAATTTGCAATAACATTGGTACAATTACTGTTGCTTTGATTAACAAATGTTTGTATATTTATATGGATATAGTACAATAATTGGATATAGATTTATGAAGTGTGAGCAAAAGCATTTAAGTACGAGGACATGATGTGTCTAGACGAAGCATGCATAATGAATAAATCCAAATCCACTTCTTCCCTTAGACTCTTTTATAAACTGACTAAAAGAGGAATAATAATGTCATTATTATTTTTCTAATAGAGAAACCATGCATGTTCAAGCGATGGGGATTAATTATCGTCATACAACAACAACGTTGTAGGCTTGTAGCATATATGTGGAACAGTGGCGCCGATAATTTAGACCAATGTAAGTTCATGCTGACATATACACCGGTCAAAATGGTCGAAGCATGAATCATTTTGGTCTATGTACTATTTACTGAATGGTAAGTTGGTAACTGAAGAATACTATATTATATAGTACGTGTTAGGTGATTGCATTTCACGCACGCACGTGCCAAAGAAATTTAAATTCTTTTTAATTTAAAAGTGATTTTCTTATGCAAATTTCAGTATTTATCCTTATAGTTTTAATTATGGAAGCTAGTACTCTGATTTTAATAATATCTGTGCAATTCTAATGACATTTTTAATAGTACACGAATACTGTATAATTCCTTATTTAGATAAAACAGAACCTATGTTTAATAGTGTAGAGTTTGAAAACATCATCATTTTTAGTCATTTTGACTCATTCTCTCATATTTGGAGTATTGGTTTGTGATGTCTACATTTTATTTTTTCTTAGCCCCTTTTAGCCCAATATATGGATCGGTGTATAACACAAAATACGATGGGCTTATAACTAGGCCGTAACTAAAAAGGCCTTTTGGCTCGTGAGTATTATCTTTGGAACAGTACGGATATCTATGAGACGTTGAAGATTTCCGATCTGTTTCTCTGAGTTTTGTTCGTTTCCACACCTCTTCAAGTAAAAACCTATGAAGAAGTTAGCTAGAAGATGGCAGAGAGCTCGTGGCGACGACGAAGATGATAAGTTCGTCCTTCCTACTTGGACGACATCGATTCTCGGCCTATAGGCTATAGACGCAAGGTTTTTTTTTTTTTGCTTATTGTCATCCTAAGAAATAATTAATTCCAAAGGCAAGTAAGTTCGTAACACATTCTCGTTATACAGAGCAAGAAGAGTACGTTCGATCGCTAGAGCCTAGAGGAGCTCACGCTCAGCAAATTTGTCAATGGAAGGTAATGATCATCATCGAAAAACAGTATCCAGTTGTGCAGATTGCAGAAATGTTTATATAGTCTTACTTTTTTGCAGCATCGCGGTTCTTTTGTGTTGCTATGGAGCGTTCGTTTTCTACTCCATTTCTCAGCAGTTCATATCACCATGGGAGTTGGTATATATGGTGCACTTGTTTCACTTTAGTCATACATATACATACATTATCATAGATCCTAAAATCTACACTACTTCATGGAAGATCTTAAGTCATGGATGGTCATTTCAGTGGTTTGTCTTACATCTCTGTGTTCTTACTTTGGAAGTTATTGTTTATTTATAATCAAAATCCTGAGCTTGTTTGGAACTTTACTGTGTAATCTCTCTTGGTCCAATATGGAAAATAAAACAGATATTAGATGCATATTAATATAATGCGTATGGTTACTCTCTCTCTCTCTCTCAGTAGTTTCTGAGTATCACTTTTCATCTGTCTATTGGTGGAATAGTGTAGAATGAGAGGGTAGAGTAATTTTGCATTTTTTTTCTTTGGTACGTAAAACTTCTTCTTTGCTAGTGAAACCGTACTGCACCAGACCATAAGACTTTGCTGCGTGATCTTCAGTTTTTTGTTTTTGATTTTTTTTTTGCATGTGATTTTGAAACTTACCACAATAATACTTTTATCACTGGACTTTTTTTTGGATCAGAGTGGATTGCTATCATGGCTTGCTGCTTCTCAATTGTCGGTCTACTAGATAAGAAGAATGATCACAGACGGTGTTTCTGGTACTCTTCTGTTCCTGGATCTGCATTGACCACATCTTTTTGGCTTTACTCCCTACTGAGGTACACTAGAGAGTATACATTTCATATACCATATTACATTTTCATAATCAACCAACTACTATTAGATTCAAGCTAGTGCAAGTGAAATTTATATCAATCCAGAGATGGCCGGTTCAAATTATGATGCAACTTTTGGTACCATTAATCCTTGGTGTTAGTGGTTTATGCTGGATCAACAATAGTAAACATTTCCTATCGATTATTCTATTCTTGCTATCTGCAGAACAGTGCTAAGAATCTGTTCTCTCTCGTGTTCTAGGCTTCCGAAGCTCCGGTGGGATGCTATCTGGCTTCCATTGGCCCCCCTGTGGTTTGTTCAGCTATCCCAAATGATGAGTTGTTCACTTGTTAGTCATACACAAGCCGTAGTTCCTTTCTACGTTTTTTTTTCATGAAAATTGAATCAAGTGTCAAAGAAGATATAAATGTTCTCTCCAATAGCTGCATCATTTGGTTCGAAAGTAAAATTCCAAAGTTGAGAAATAAAACTATATCAGATAAGAGGTTACAAGATTGTTCAATCAATCCTCTTCATCGATGACTTTAGTGCCAAGGCCAGAGAGACCTTCTGCAGGGATTTCAGCAACAGTAACAAGAGAGAAGAACTCTTCCTTGGCATCTTCATCATCATTTCTCTTACGAGCAACACGGACTCTGATCCTTCTAGGAGGACCTCTGATACCTCTGCTCCAAATCTGCTTGTTCAGCTTCACATCTACTCTCACATCCTTTGTCCCCATTGCCTTCCCTGCAAACTTCCTTATCTCCTTGATTGCCTTTGGTGCCTTCTTCTTAAAGGTACTGTTTTACACACACAAACAATGCCAACTTTTCAAAGTCAAACCCCAAAGCTCAAAACTCGAGTTAAAACATTGGGAAAGAGCTTAGTATTTGAGAATAAAATATAACTAAAATTCTAACGAACTGTTGAAACCATCAAACAGCTAAAACTTTGAACCGACAGAACAAACCGATAAATTATGTCGGAAAATTTACCAGCTATGAAGGCGTCGGTGAAGGTTGATAGTGTACTCTCTGGTCACCACCTCCTCTTTCCTTCCCTTCTTCTCCGACATTTTTTTTTCTGTTCCTGCATTTATCGAAACTCAAATATATTAAAACTCAGTTAACGTTCTCTGTATAGCATGATCAGCTCACTGTTTGTTCACTACATTATTTGATTAGCAATCAAATGAAGGTATAAAAGGAAGAATCTATTGGCCTGAACTTAGAGTGGAGATCAACAAACTAAGTTAGGGACGTGAGAGGAAGAAAATACCTTTGCTACTCCAAGAATGCCGAGAGACAGAGACGGTGAGGCCGGAGGAGAAGTAGCTTATATGCGGCGCTCAATAGGTAGAAGAGCTAAACCCTACTCGATCCAATGGGCCTCTCTTTTATGGCCCAATTAAGAGTTCTTAAACTTAATTGTTTTACATTGAATGATGAGTATGAACTAGTAAACAATTTTCTTCATCTAGGGCGTTTGGTCTAGTGGTATGATTCTCGCTTTGGGTGCGAGAGGTCCCGAGTTCGATTCTCGGAACGCCCCTTTTTTTAATGTAAACTTTTTGGCCATGAAGACTTCTAGTAAGGACTGGTTTGGTTTCTTCAGAACTTTAATATTGAAATTTGCAGAAATAGCTAAACTTAACAAGAGAGGAACATACAACTAGTTGAATGTTCTTATTTGAATACATTAGTCTTCTAACTTCTAAGTAACGAACAACTTGTTTGGCATAGATGCATCATTAACATAGTCTCCTGCAAATAGTGATCCCATCACCAAGAGCAACTTGCGAGATCTGCACACGCTTATCAGCTGAGAGTTTCTTGTTCAGCTCATGGATTGCCTTCTTCCCTTCTCTCCTCGACTCGGGAATAGACGAGTCAGGTTCAGCAACTGATCCTCCCCAAAGAGTGTTGTCATACACTATGATCCCACCAACCTTGATCAGTCTCATAAGCCTCTCATGGTACTTCCAGTAACTCACCTTGTCTGCATCCACATATCCGAAATCAAATCCACCCTCGTTCTCTTCCTGCCATCACAAACAATGACCATCTCTTCTCAAGATACTGAATAACCAATGGGATAGTTACACGAAAGCAAAGAAGATAGAAGCTATATACATGGTTTAAAAGCTCGTCGAGGACAGGAAGAGCTTCAGACTCTCTGAAATCAATCTTGTGCTCAACACCAGCCTTCTTGATTACTGGCAACCCTATCTCATATGTGCTTCTGTTCACATCAATGCCTATAACCTGCAAAATCTTTGTGCACTAAATCATCAGCAGAAAGCAAAACACAAGTGGAAAACTTGTCTTTTATATGCACATGCCTTGCCATCTTCTGGTAATGTAAGAGCAGTGAGGAGAAGAGAATATCCAGTGAAAACTCCAAGTTCGATCGTCTTCCTTGCATTTACAAGTTTCAGCAACATCTCCATTAACTGGCCAGCGTCTGGTGCAGTAGCCATCGTAGCTTGAGGGTGGCTATCAGTAACGTTCCTAAGCTCCTTTAGAGCCTCTGACTCACGTGGGTACACACTAGTCTCCAGTATATACTGCAACCATTTTTTTCCAAAGAAAGTTCAGAAGAAAATGAAAAGTTAAAAACGGTATGAGGGAGGGCACACACTTTGTAGAGCTCTCCACTCTGGAGCAATCCTTTGGAAAAATCTGATGCCTTAGCTTCATCCTTAGCCATTGTAATCGCAAGTTTCTTTTCCCCAAACACACTCAATTACCTGGGCCAAGGAACAGTGACATAGATAAGTAACCATGCTAATAATTTAAAAGACATTAAGCAGAGAAACAATCTTTACAGAGAGAGAGGGAATGTACCAGAGTGCTTAAGTTTTAGTTTCTGATTTTCCAACTACAATGCAGGTATGACTTTATAGGAAAATTGTGAAAGTACACCAAATAGTCGTCACAATCAGATTTTTCTTGTACTTTTATAAAGAGGAATATACAAAGGAAAGGCGTGGCAAATGGCTTTTTACTCATCTCTGTGCTGGTAAGTGTTGACGTATCAGTATAATATCAACATCATGAGTTAGATATCTTAACAAACAGTCCAAACATAGTTTAAAAGTGCCAAACTTCGTTGTACCATATCTTGTTTCTATTATCTGTATTGTGAGCATGAAAATAGTAGAGTCCCATTAGAATCCCATTAGAGGATGACTATAGATCCACTGGGATTTTCTTCCTTTTTTATAAAGAGGAAACGCGTGCTTAATGGCGCTTTACTCTTCTCTGATAAGGTTGGTGGCATCAGTGTATTATCAGGAATGAGACATCTTGCCAAACAATCCAAACCCATTTCAAATAACACGATGATAATACTGACAAACAAAGAGCAAACATGTTGTCTATCGATATTATTAAAGAGTTATGATGCCTCCTCAGCTTCAAAACTTGTGTGTAGTATTAAAATATCCAGAGACAGAAAAAAAAAGAAATCAAATTTTGGCTCTAACGCGATGATAAACCGCTAGTCTTATGGATTTTTTTTAAAAAAGCTGTTCAATGGTTTTAAAAAAGGCATGGTTTGTTCATGGGAGTTTCTTGAATCAATCAAGGGTAGTAGCCGGTGAAAGTGAAGCCTCTTCCAACGATCTCACCAGCACAGTACCAAGCGAAACATTCGAGACCAAAAAGTGCGGCGATTCCAGCATCTTCAACCTTCAAATCTGCACGATTCTTCCACAAGCCTTTCACGTGATTCACTTCCTTCCAGAACAACTCAGTACGTCCAGGAATGCTACCATCCAAATAAAACACAAAAAGTCAGCCACAGGAACAAAGAGTACTCCCTGAATAACATATCTAGAAACACTGAAAAGACATTATCTATACCAACACCTCTCAAGAATCACCGATATCTAGTGAGATCATGCAGCAAATCAGAGACCTTAATTGAAACGTGTATAGTTCATAAACCATCCCTAAACCTAAAAGAACCGAACTAAGACTGTAAGCATGATTGCATCATTCAAGATACCTACCAAACCAAACCAACTAAAGAAAATAAACCCTTTACAAGCACAACAATAACAGATTTTAACTTTTTATTATCTAAGATCAGATAAGAGAAAAAGAAAAAAAGAGACAAACCTAGCAAGACGAGTGTAGAGAAGCTGCTTAGACAAGTCATTGCATTTCTCAACAGTGGCAGGCTCCTGGATATAGTGCTTGTTCTTCTCCAACAACTGTTTGTAGTAAGTCGTGCCGTGCTTTGACACAAACTTGGACGCTTCACACGCCTTTGATTTCAATTGTACCAACTTTGACGCCATCTCTCCAAAACCTGCCTGTACGCTAACCCATCAAAAAACACAATTTGGATTTTACAAATCAAAAGATAAGCTAATGGATGAAGTAGTCATTGTATAGAAAATAATATAAAATGTATCCAAGTTACTAAAATTAAAACCTGATTACACTATCAAAAGATTAAAGCATTTGGAGCGTGACCAGATCAGAATGACCTAAAGTCAATGTCTACCAATATAAACCCTAAAGCGCAGATCAAGAAGGGATGAAACCTCGAATCGGAAAAAGGGAAAAGTACTGGCGGTTTCAGAGGTCCTTACTGATGTCGCCGGCGGTGGAGATTATATTCTACTGGTGTGACACCGTTTACGGAGAACGAGAGCGATGCAGCTGGATCAGCAGAGAACCTCTCTATGAGTTTTTTCTTTAGGGGTTTTGTTACCTCTTTATTATATTCTATACGGGCCGGGCCTTTTTGGGCCTCTCTTTAGTAACATCATAGTGGCCCAAAAGTACCCCACTCTGCGCCTAATTAAGAATGAGATTATCAGATGAATCAGGCTATAACCAGCTAGCTCATCAATAAAGCTTTTAAAAACAAGAATGGCCGATAACAGGGGAAGATTGATCCAACATTTTTTTTGTAACATTCAACATACTAGTTCATTCTAAACTTTTACTTGGGAGTATTTTGGTCGCATAACTTTTTGCTTTTATCATGTGATTCGTTTTGATCATCCATTTGCTAAGTTTTATCATTCCATCCTTTGCGTCTAGTAGTTTTATCGTTCATGAACTTTTGTTAGCGTCGTTGAGTTCTTACACTCCCATTTTTTATCCATTTGGACACGATAATGTCATTTTAGTTTCAGGACATGTAAACACTAGAAACATATCAATGTTGTCTTGCTTCTAAGAATTTGCGTCTTTACCAAAATTAATCACCATAGACTCCGGCACAAATTACTATCTCCTAAATTTAAGATTCTTACTGTCACATGGTAACGGTCCATGAGCTCAGTCACCAAAGATATCACAAATGAGTCGAAGAATATGATTACGTCCTCTATATATGTTTAGGTAGTAATTGAGCAAAATAATTTGGTTTGACGGTTTAACACTTAAGTCTTTCACTTGGCCTAAGAAAATGTTGCTCCTTGTAGATGCCTCATGTTTGGCATAAAAATATGTTCCACAATGAATTTATGAGCGGATAAATCTTCGTTTCATTTTGACGATTTTACTTCTATCAATCTTCTAGAAATTAATTGACAATCTTTAAAAAAACTTTAACCAAAACTCATGTTTGATTCAACTATAATGGTATCAAGCATAACCACACTGAAAAGTTAACAAAAAATGAACGAATAGAAGAAAAGTAAAACCAAATCAATTTATTGTCGATTACTCATAAAAAGAAGAGTAACGAAAGGAACACAAAAGCAAGAGTGGTCAAGGTCGGCATTGACACAATAGTCAAACCAAACACAAAACCAAACACTCTATTATCAAAACACATCAAACAAAGTTGCTATATATATTATAGCTAAACCTTGAACTAAAACAAAAGCAAAACAAAAAAACCAAAAAAAAGGTTGAACAAAAACAACTTCCTTATGCGGCAGATGGGGCAAGGTTGGTAAGGTCATCACCACCAGTTTCATTGGAAGCTAATGCTGCAGTGATCGGATTCGGATTCAGCTTAGACTCAGCCTCGACATAGTTCTTGTAGTCCAAACTTGGATCTTCGTAAATCTCCCACCATTTTTTCACCAACATTTTTATGTCTTCACGGTCCATGCGTTCTTCGGTTTCATCATATTTCCAAGGCTTCGAACCCTATAAATTTGATTAGAAAAAATAAATATTTAATAAAATGGATCTATATATCTATGTCAAGAAAAATAATTAATGAATTAAACACAATAATACTTACATTTGCACAATAGTGAACGACACTGATTTGATCAAGTTCAACATTTTCAGGATGACGCCAAAGCATAGCCAATACAAGGTTGTAAGTTGAAGGGATTGGCTTGTAAGTGTCTCTAAAGTACATATTCAGGAAATCCTACAAAAAAAAGTACTCGAATTATTAAATAAAAGAAACTCATCAAATAATGAAAAAAATACAATACACTAACCTGTTCCGCAAAGTAAGTTGGTGTGGTGACTTGAACAACACGGAGAAGATCTTCATAAGTGTCAAGATTTGGTTCAAACATTAACATACCAGCATTGAAATATATAGGTGGCGGAGAACCAAGGCTTTCCACCGGCCATGTCACCTTTTCAGGCGACTGCTGGCAGTAACCGATCTGGTATTGTGGAGTTTTGCACCATGATATCTCACAAAAGCAATCTTTAACCGCATACAAGTAACCGGGGGGAGAATCAAAAAGATGATCGATATTACCAAATACTTGTATGTCTCCATCTAGGTATATCACCTTTTCATACTCCACAAACTGCATTTATTATTATACAGTAAAAATGTGTAAACCATATAAAATGAGACAAGACGTGTGGTTATAAAATATTAAGTGAGATACTTACCTCCCAAATACGAAGTTTGGAGTAGTTGAGAACAAAGTAAGGCATGGAATAACCAGCTTTGTTTTCCGGTGGAATGACAGGTTCAATCTCACGGATGATGCATCCCTGAGCCACCAGAATTTGACGGTGCTCCTCAGGCACATCTGGGAGAATTGCCACCACAAGAGGATAAACCGACTTCACTTTGCGAAGTCCTTTGGCAAGGCCAACCACACCCATCCAGTAATCTTTGTTACCAGCAAGGAAAGTGACGTAAGCTCTTTTCCCAACGTTGGGATTAGCTTCCTTCTCAACAGTCATCTTCATTGTAGCCATCTCAAAAAATGAAAATTTCAGAAAGATAAAACAGTAACTTTTTGTAGCAGTTTTTTTAAGTGTATGCAAGATGGATGATGAAAAAGCCCTCGCCTAGATCGTATTATATAAAGGCATAGAGATAGAAAGAAATTAAATGGGAGAATTAATATATAATTGATGACATTATTCTTTTCCCTATTCGTTTTTAGAAACGTTGATGGAAACACAATAAATGTAGAATCATATTTGTACACATGATATTATTTATCCTTACACGTTTTATCATATAGATTTATACACTTAATGATATATGATGAATGTCTCAAATCTAGTTACCATATTTACAATGATCGGATGGTTTCAGAATCGGAACCTCGAACTAATATAGAAAATTCACTTGATGGATAAATTGCTTGATAATGTTTAATACACTTAACTGGTTAATGATCCAATTCTTGTCTATCAAAATTTAAGTAGGAGAATATAAATTAAGGAAACTCAATCTAAAATTATAATAAAGTGGTGACGCAATAACTCCTCATATATATTTGCTCATTTTGGATTAAACGGAGTTACTGGATTTAGTGCGGAAGAGCCACAATTTTTCGCTTTTTGATTTGGGTCTCCATATATGGATGCGCAGCGTTTGCACTTGGGACAGACTTTAAATTTAAAAAACTGTAAAAACCAACGAAAAATATAGCCCATAGTTTTGCACAAAATGAGTAGGATTTTAAACATCGCATCCTTAAGTTTTTTTTGATTAATAAAGTTGGGCTTTGTTGAACTGAAAATCCATTCTGGCCTAAAATGAAGGATGATTTTGTTTCTTTCAATATATAGATAGATAGATCAGGTAGAAACACACATCTTATGCGAAATAAAAGTATTAAAAATAATTAAATTTACTATACATTTTCGTTCAAAATTTTCATTAGGACATTATATAAAATTTCTGCAAGTTGGTTGAATGTTGATGTTGTGAATCGTTTGTGGGGTATATTCATCTGGTTACAAAATTCATGGAAGCTAACATAGGGCAAGGACTGGTGGTTTAAGTTCAAACATCACACATTTTATGCTTTATGTTGGGTTACAGTTCACTCACTGGTTCATAACCATGGGCACACAAACAATTATTTGATGCATAAGACATGATCGGATTTAACCATGTTAACAAAAAAAAGTCTGTTGATTCAACTCAACATGTTACAAGAACACGATAGAGAAAAGCAAATGATAATTTCAACTGATGTTCATGTGACTTGTACCACAGATCAACAATATGATGATCACTCTTCATTGTTGCAACTATGTGATGCAGAAGTTGGTGAAGAAATTAGTGGATACATAAGCGCAGCAACCGTGGAATGTAATATTTCATTAAGCGTTTTTTTCATTACCATGCATCCATCAGTGCTTCATTATTGGTAAGTGCAGCTACCCTCCACTGAAAAGAAAAGCAGCAGCATATACAAGGAGGTGAGGAGAGAGTTGCAGTGAGGAAGCTGAAAATGCAAGTTTAGTTCAAGCTACTGTTACCTTCAAGATGCTTTTGTTTTGTTGGAGATGAGCATCTATTTCTACACGCACAAGCAAGTGTGTTTTACAGTGCATGTGTAGTCTAATGAAGGCTGAGTTAAAGACTTGGATGAAGGTAGAGGGTTAGCTGTTACCACCATGATTGGGTTGTACCTGATAGTTAGTCATTCCCCACCGATCCTGTTCACAATTATAGTGAAGTGGATTACTATTGTTCGTTCCAAACAAGAAAAATAAATGAGTTCTGATGTGAAGTGGTTATGGTACTGCCAATTCCTAGAAAGTGAAAACATAAAGGGATATATAAAATTAAGCTAACAGAAGCTGATATGTTTGCAACATTTTCCTTGGCTGATCTTGAATTGTCAGAGGATTTCACAGCTAATGAGATTAGTGTTTTGATACCAACTTCAAGACATGCGCCGCAAGTGTGTTAAAGCCAACAAAAAAATTCAGACTGAAAACCAAGTCAGCAGATAGAAACAAGAGTCTATGAACAACGCAAAGACATACAATTAACGATTCATTCCTGGAGGCACTGACTAAATATACAACCAAGGATTCAATCCTGAAGGCACTTTACTATACATAAAACTAAACATCCGTCCCTGAAGGCATTGACTCTAAATATGTGAACACGAAACAGAGTTGCACTATGGTTCTCAGACAATACCTATTTTACGATATGCTTCCTAACATACCTATTTTAAGAAGAATAAGAACCTCCCAGAGAGTAGCTCATGGTCTAATGTTGCATCATTTATATCAGGTATTTGCCTGTTAATCCGAGGAGTATGCTGCCAAATACGAAATTCAAAATAGATATTAACTTAAGCTATGAACAGCTCACCAAAATACACTAATGCTATTGAGTATGATTAAAAGAAGCTTATCATACAGGGATATAATCTCTCCTCCCAAGCACTGCCTCTCTTCTTAAGCTCTCATCTTCAGCTAATATAGGTGCAATGGTCTGTATCAGCCACGCTGCTACTAAAACTAGAGTTGGAGCTCGCACTTGTACTGCCCTCTGCTCCTCCACTTCCTCTTGCACTTGCAAATGGATTCCTAATGTGGTCTGTCTGGATTCTCCACTAAAATACAACCTAGGAAGCAATACAAAGAGAGTATCAAAAACATATCTTTAAGAGCTCACAGGCTTTATTATGGATCTAAGGACAAACCCAACAAAACGAAAACCCTAATCATGAGAGACTAGCATCAAGTAAACCAAACAAATCCAAAAATACACAGATATTTAGGAGAGTGATACAGTGAATAAGATACTTATTTTTTTTAAAATCTCCTTGGGTCTTATTGCCAATATTAGGATCCTACCCATTTCTGGGAGGATTTCTTCTTTCAGTTAGTTGATTTCTGCTATTAAAATCAACTAAATCGTAACACTCAATCACTCACAAACACAACTTACCGGAAAAGATGAAGTCCCCTCTTCTTGTTCTTCTTCTTCTTTTCATCAGAGTTGCCGCTAAGGAGCTTGAACCTCCTCGTTGGTGTCTCCCCAAACCGGGAGTTTCACCGGAGAAGCTTCAAAGTGTATTGAACTATGTATGCTCCCATATGGCATGTCCTCAGTCAAGCGATCGCTGCTTCGCGTCGTACGATCTCCCTGGAAGAGTCGGCGTAGTGATGAATCTTTATTTCCAGACTTACGGTCGAACAGAGGAAGCCTGCTTCTTCGGTGGAGACGGGATGATCGTCACGACCAATCCCGGCTACGGAGAATGCGTCTACTACACCGCCTCAGCCGCTACCATTATCCCTCCAACGATGCTTCTTCTTCTTCTTCTTTTCAATTTGGTTTAGAATGATTGCCGTTATGTAATGAATGATTGCCGTTAATGAATAAAAAAAGCTTTTCTTAACAAATTTAAAGTTTTTATTATAATTTATCTATATATTTTTTTAAAATTATTAATTTTTCCTTATTTTTTTTCTTAATATTTTCTTATTTTTATTAGAAAATACTAACATAGGAGGGTTATTGGGGTAATAATTCTAGAGGAATTATTAAATTTCGAGATTCCATTGTTATTAGTTTTGAATTTTTAAAATCTTAGTAAAATTCATTATTATGGGGGTGAGAACTTTTAAAGTCCACTCAAAATCTATTATTATTGGAAAAGTTTAGTTTTTATTGATATTAAGATTCTATTAAAATCTATGTTATTTCGAATTAAATTTTATTTGTTTTTACCAATGAAGCTCAACTTTGAGAATATGATCTATACCCATAAAATTTTTGAAATCTATGTAATAAAATACATTCACATACAAAACCACAGAAAAAAATAAAGAATGAAATAAATAATAGAGTGTCAATGTGACTGTGTTTAAATTTTGTGAATTAAATAACAGAGTGTGTGTGACTGTGTGTAAAAAAAAGTTATAATAGTGTGTGTGTTTAGTAGACATCAACATAACAACTACATTGATTTTTTTTTTTGGAATAAAATCCTTTTGAATGCTTAATCTCTTTCTTAATATCTTCTTATTTACCATCGCGATGATGGCCATCATCATATTGTCAAGATAATGATTTAAAATGTATTATAGGAAATAATAACCGTCTTTATGCATGGTCAAACATTTTGAATTGCATATCAAGTTTAGTCAGAAAAAGATTGAGACGTACTATATATGTCACTAATTTCATTGAACAAAATTATAACATATAGATTGATATACACATTTTATCATAAAATACAAAACATACTATATATGTCTTTATATGTCTATATATATAACGTGATTTTTAAAAATACAAAACATGATTATAAAAATAACATAAAGTTTGATATACACTTTTTTCTATGTCACTAACATTTTTACTCGACTAAAATAATACATATGTACTATATATGTCACTAATCTAATTTACTGGAATTTATAAATACTATATTAATCTATAATGAAAGAAATAAGGTAGGGAGGCTAATCAATTATTTATCTAAATTAAATGAATGAAATAAGGTATGAAGACTAATCAAATCTTCAAAATTACACTATCCATAATATCTTGAACATGCATATAAAATGAGACATATACTATAATCATTTTGTGGGTTTATTTGTAATTACATAATATGTAATTAACCTAAGTAAGAGAGTGCTATTCAGTAAAGGATGTGAGATGCATTATGGCATTGACATTTAAAAAAAAAAATTATTAATAATACATGAGAATAAAGTTTATTTTTAAATACATCTCAAATAATAAAAAAAAGGATTAATGGAGTAGTCAAATCAAACATTATTTCTTAATTAGCTGTAACTGGTAGGAAGCCTTATTTCCATATATACATAGTTAAGCAAGTCAAAACAAATACATGATTTTGATCTAGTTAAATGTGCATTATGTAAGAAATGACTGTTGCCGTTGCATGCAACCTATAGAGTCTAGACTACATCTACCATTCCATGTCTTTAAATGTAAATTTAAATGTAAATGGTATAAACGAGCTTGTTCAAAATATCATAATATATATTTTTTAATAAATTAGATTTGATCGATTTCGGGAGGAACACACTTATTGCTACAGAGTGGACTGTCTACCATACCGTCTGAGCTGAGTTTGGAATACCTTTTAAATAATGCTAGTGGGTGAACCGATCGTCTGTTTCGATATACCATGTAAACTATTTGGGTCGAAATCCAATTCCAAACTAACTAAATAATGATAATTACCAATACACTGCACAACTTGGTTAATATATATCACTCTATTAGTTTCTAACTATTATTTGCATTGTTTTTATTACTCTATTAGTGACCACTGTCCTTGCTCTGAATTCATTTGTTTTTATTCACCAAGTGGTCTACGACCTCGGCTTGGCCAAGAAAACGAAATAACTTGGACACTACTCTAGCTAGGAATGATCGATTAATTCAAATATATCATAATAACTAGTGGATCCAATTTTTACAGCTTTTAAAACGTGATATGTAACAAAAAGTCAATTCAAGGGCCACATTCTGCATTCGTGGAAATATGCTAGTATTCTTTTTTTTTTTTGATAATTTTCGTGATAACCCATATGCTAGTATTCTTGACTAGTAGAATTGTATTACCTAGAATAACACAGCTATGCGTAATTTGTTTGTATTTTAAATCTGATATGGTTGGTCCAGTGATCGATCATTTTAATCGTCTTAAGTAGAAAAACAAAATTCAATGCGTGCGCAAGTTTTAAAGATGGCATATATAGTCATAAACTTATAATTAGACTTGATTTGCATACTGCATTAAAAATACACTACATCGTCATCTATACCTAACTATGTTTTCGTGACATAGAACTAAGAGAAAAAATGGAACAGCTTACTTGTTAGAGTTGTACAGTGGCCAAGTCAAAAGGACCTAACCACATAACAACACTAACATCCTTAGAAATTACGTGAACATTGACATCCTCATTGCATTTGCTGTATACCAACTTCGAATATATAAAAAGTTAACAGATATTACATATCATTGTCCTTTGGAAAAATATAAAATTTGCATCTACTGCCTATGAGATTTTTGAGGTACATATTATCTTACGTCTCTTAACAAAATATATATATTCATATTTGAAAAACTTTCTTTGACGCAAACGGTTTGCTTTTAACCAGTTGAGCAAAACATGTTATGTATATAGTATACATTAATTTAGAGTTGAAATAGATATTTTTATGTAATATTTTATAAGGTAACACAAAAGGGAATGGTTCAATTTTCACATACAACAGCAAACATTACAAATCACCTTAATGAACATGAAATTAACTTGCTTCGTTCAAAGCAAGAAAACAAACAATGATATATTCTAGAAAAGAGAAACAAACCGAAACCCACTTTTATCAATGGGTTTCAGTTAATTATCTTCTCTTTCCCAAAAATAAATCTCCCCTTCCCCCTGTTAACCACCAAAAATATATATTCGGATTTAATTTACTTTTGAGTTTTTTTTTTTACAGTTCAGAACTTCCTTCGGCGGTCCATGAACTCGTGTATTCTCTCCAACGCAATATCCAAAGTCTTCTCACTCATATTAGCAAAACAAACCCTAAACCATCCATACTCCGAACAATGGCACGAAGATCCCGGCGATATATTCAGCTTCAGTTCCTTCAAGATCACATCCCAAAGCTCGAGCTCGCCTTCTTTCGTTTTCGTGTGAAGCAAGAAACCCAAATTCATCCAACAGAACAACCCTGCGTTACCCTTCAAACACTCGATCCCTGCCTTCTTAAGCCCTTCCACAATTGTCTCGTACCGTCTCCTAAGCCTTTCACGGTTTATCCTTATGTACTTCTCCGTAAACTCCTCATCCGACAACATGGAAGCCAACATGTGTTGTGTCTGAGACGAGACAAGCGTGAAACTCGACATCCTTCTCGCTGTCCGCACAACATTATCGTTGTACGAGTAAATGGTCCCCACTCGGAAACCGGGAAGACCTAGATCCTTGGAGAGGCTGTAAACGATGTGGACACGTTCCTTAACTGACACGTCATCTATGTTCTCTACGATCTCGGCCACGCTGGTGAACTCTGACGCGTGGAAGACAGAACCCGAGTAGATCTCGTCTGAGACTAAGTGAATGTTCTTGCGCACGCAGAAGTCAAGGAGATTTTCTAGAACCTTCTTTTGGACTGTCGCGCCTAATGGGTTTGATGGGTTGGTTATGAGCACTCCTCGGACTCTTATGTTAGAGTCACGAGCCGTTTGGTAAGCCTGCTCGAGCGCCTCTGGGGTTATCTGGAAATGGTTTGAGCTGTCGCAATGAATCGGTACAATTCTCACTCCGGTTCTCCATCTCAAATCTCTATCGAATCTGTAACAAATAAATAAAACGTTCCGGTAAATACAAGATATATAGTAGATAATATTTTTTATTTTTAAGTTTGTGTCAGTTTAGTTGCAGCTATTTTTTGAATTTAATAGAAAATCTCTATACGAGTGACTAATTATTTTAATATAAATATATAAAGTGTGACGTACCCTGGATAATATGGCGTGGGGACGAGAAGAGCGTCGTTGGGATCAGCGAGGATGAACGTTAAGAGTTCATTAGCGGCGGTGGCTCCGGCGGTGAGGACAATACGGTCAGGATCGAAACTAGCTTTGCCTCCACGAATCTGTTGCATGAAGCTAGCCATGGCTTGTCTGAAAGATTTTAGACCGTGGTAGTCTTGAAACAGTGCGTTTTCTCTGAACCCAGGTGCTCCTTTTGATCCCCACATGGAACCTTCTGGATTCTTCTTCTCTAAGTAACTTTCTAAAAGATCAAACGAGACCTGTACAAGAGATTGTCAAGATAGAGAGAGACCATTAATACATTATCCAGATATGTAGTTATTTTATGAAAGAAACAGTTGACAAAAGTATATAATATAATTACCTGATTCTCGGCAAGACCCATTTGAATGACACCGGAAGGGTTATGTGATTCGTCGTAAGGATTTTCATCGTAAGCTTTCCAGCCGGCGAAGTAAGGTGAATCTTCACCATGTGTGTCTGAAACCGCTACTCGAGAAAGCTCGACGACGTTGTTGTTGTTGTTGTTTGATGATCTCTCCATCATTAGCGGAAGACCCTTTTTTTTTTCTTAGTGCTTTGAACCTGACACGTGGTACGTGACAGCTCTGAACACAATCGGAGGGAGAGAGAAAGAGATAGCAAGCTAGAGAGAGAGAAGTGTGTTGAAGTTATAACATTTGTGTGAATGAGGGACGAGTATATATAGCAGACGTGACGGAGAGGGAAGTCTTTGACAAACTTGATTTTCCTCATTTCTTTTTCTTTTTAATATAGTTTACT